TAGATAGATAGATAGATAGATAGATAGATAGATAGATAGATAGATAGATAGATAAGCAGGCAGACAGACAGGATTGGTTTTGTAGTTATAAGACCAATTATGAATACTGTACTAGATAAATTTGGACAGATCATGAGTTTCCTCCAAATAATTCTCTTTTTAAGTTTCAAATGTCTTGATTTTTATTTTAAGGTGAATTCAATTTCAAGTATAATATTGGAGATTTAAATACCAATTTCCTTGTCGAAGAATTATTCATTTAAAACAAGACTTTCAGCTTACCTTGCCGAATTCTTTCCAGGTATAGCTGGATTTTTTTAGTAACTGCTTGAGTTTCCAGTAGGATTTTGTTCCAGATCCACCATTTGCTGTGAGATCCATCAAGTACATACCAGTTCTGGTGCTGTTCCTCATAGAATGGCCTGATTTCATCAGTTTGCGCTCTGTAACAGGAATTCTTGAGGGAAATGATGTGAGAGCTGTCATGCAGTGGGTAGGGAGGTCTGACAAAATAATTTAAAGAAATATTAGTGCAAAACTTCAAAGTTTGGCCTCCTAAAAATTGTTCGGTTGTAGGTTACATTGACTGTTGCAGTAATGATGCTAATGAGGATAACATGGTTTCTTCTTTTACTTAGTGTTCTCATCACTATACTTTCCCCCTGCCACCCTCCCCCCACCTCATTTTTTTTCTGGAAACTCTCCAGCAGCCCAGGATATTTTTTTGCTAGGATGTGGGGTGGTGGTGGTGGTTATCCACAGAATCTCTTCCATTATGATGCAAGGACTGTATGTAGCTCCCAAACCTCATAACTCCTTGAGATTCTGCTGCCAGAATTTGGTAACCAATTTCAATGCCTTAATTCCTAACTGATTTTTGGAGCCCGCCCCCCATACAATAAAAATATGCTTAGCTTTTTTTTAAAACAAATGTTTTTTGTTTAAAAAAAAATGTAGTCCACTATCATGCCCCCATCCCCAGGGGAAAAAAACAACCGTGGATGAAAAATGCCATATCATGCCTTCTAGTTATATCACTGTTTCCCATAGAACTATCTTTCTCAGCTGATATTTTTAGAGAGACAACCAAAAAATTACCCAAGATGTTATTAGTAATTGAATTAGTTTTAAATACCATTCATTTATTATATACTAGCTCTATACCCATACTTCGCTACGAAACTATGTGATTGGGTTTTGAGGAGAAAAATTGTGCCTCTGCCTACCAGCATCCATCGGTATTCATCTGGCTAGCAGCATGTCAGTATATGAGAGAGTTGAGCGCTGTTTGGAAACTGAAACATGGAAACTGAAACAGTATTTGCTGTGTGAGCCAGGAGACAGCAAGGAGCCTGGGCGTGGCTTAGCTCAACTGTTCTGTACTAAAGCTGCTTGGTGCTGTGAATGTAAAACTGAAACTGAAACTCCTCTGCTTGTGTTTTGCATTTGGAGTAGATTTATTTTCAGGTGGGGAGAGGGAGTAGAACTCCTTAGCATCAGAGCATGTTAATAATAATATATGAAATACTATTCCTCTGGTGGTCATTTCGAAAAATCCTTTCTTAGTGAACACCTAGAAGCCAAGAGGAACATACATGCCAAATTTGTAGGCTTTATGGTTCTGGAGATTTTGTGATGATGCGAGTGGTATTTTGGTTTTATATATAGATATAGAATATAGATAGATAGATAGATTTAAAAACCTTTACCCTGTGACCTGTTTATAATTTTTTTTCACAAACATAAATACTTCTAAAACAGGGTATTGAAGATTTAATGCTATTAAAATTTATGCCACAATACATTTATCCTGAAGCTGTTACAGAACCTTTTGTTCTTTTAGATGTTATATTGGTATATATTCTTTGGCAATATTACTGTACAGACAAAGATATGCATGTATCCTGTAAATATATAATGAGGCACAAAGGCAGACAATTGAAATAAACATTTAAGGATCATGTTTACTTACTGACCATTCTATGTTCTGTCCACAATAATGGAACTGAAAGTGTCAACTTTGATATGGCTTGTTTATATGTTATTTTATTATTGTTAGAAAAACCCTGTGATGTCAGTTTTAAAAAAAGTTTTACTTTTATTAATAGAATCAGTTTACGAGGATTATTCCTTCCCATGTCCCCGGCATTGCTACCTGTTGGGACTTTGCTTATCCAGAAGCGCTCTTCTTAAAACCTCTTTTATATCAATGTCTAATTCAAAGATTTTTATTGGAATGATTTTCATTTCTTCCAAGAGGTCTGCCTGTTTTTTTGTAACTGGGTATCCATCAAGAACAACTCTATGGGAGAGAAAATGAATAGAATTCTGAGTTCAGATTTATTTTGCAACAGTAACAGTTCCTATAATTCCTGAATGCGGCTAACAAGGTAGAGAACACAAACAAGGAAACAACAAAAATGTATATTTACACACACACACACACACACACACACACACACACAGATTTAAAATAATTCTGAAACTTAAAATCATATGTTTTATATGTATATGTACGTTTGAATGTGTGTGTATATACTGTACAGCATATCTATGTATATGTATAAATATCTGATATAGTATATTAAAACTAGCAAATACTAGCCAATAACCTGGCGTTGCCCGGGTATTTATTTATCCCAATCCTGTGACAGGAAAATCCTGTAGTCGGGACTCCTGCTGTTGTACTGTCTGTCATTACCATGGCAAGTCCACTATGCTATACAGTAGAAGCCATTTTAAGGCACCCCCCCGAGGGGTGTTAGGGATGTCTTACCCCCACAGTATTTGTTTCCAGAGGGTAAGTCATATGTGTACCAAGTTTGGTTGAAATTGCTTGAGGCGTTCCAGAGTTATGCTGGAACATATATACATTATAGATATAAAATAAAAAATAATAATATAAAAAATAAAAGAAGATAGATTGAAAAGTTATCCATTGTCCTATATATATATTAGAATCCATGAATAAATAAATCCACTGAGCACTTAATCAGATAAAACAGAAAGTAGAAAAGTATTATGATTATAGTAATGTTTTAAGAAGCTATATCACTCTTTTTTGGTTTTGTTGTTTTATTTTGAAATATAGAGATGTGACTTCCCAGTAGTCAACTGCTGTGAGAATTATCAGAATTATGTGGTAGACAATCCACAATAGGCTGTGGCATAGACTGGAAATAGCTTCTTAGTGTTTTGCTAAATCTTACAAAAATAATGTAATACCTGAAATAGAAATTGCTCACCCTGAAGTGTTGCACACAGTATCCATCAAGGCAATATCTAAGGCCCTTAGGGCAAGTTCATCAGGTGCAGTCAGTCCTTTGTGAAGATGCCACTTTAGCACAAGGGCCAATTCAGTTTCTGGCTGATTGTTTAATATTAAACGGATGGCATCTCCCATGGAAAGGCGCAGTAATCCATAGGTTTCTGCAAATTTTTTGGCAACTGCAAAACATGTTGCTGATTATGAATACATTTTTCATTATATCAGTGAAATATACTGATTGTATTCTAAAGAATAAACAATTATAATCAACAGAGACAGTTAAAATAAAACTAGTATGGTGACTAACATTGATGGGAAGAAGTACAAGATGTTTTTAAAGTTTAATTACCATCACTTGATTAAACAAGAACAGCAGTTTATTAATAGAAAAACAGCTTTGCCTATGATTCCCTGGGGAACCAATTACATGAAAACGTTATAATGGCAGATACGTGTGCATCTCTCCCTTGATTATATTACAGTTATTTTGCATTATGTCTTACAGCAGTATATATAGTAGAAAAGATACACACACACACACAAACAAACAAACACACCTTAGAATATATTATGCCTTAATTAAAGGAAATATATCTCAGATGAACAAATATTTTAAAATTTAAATTGTAATTCATTTATTAATATAGTTTACTTTAAATTTAATATTTAGAGATACCTTATATAATGGGGACGTGTAAGTTTCCAGGGTTGGGGGATTTAAAACTGCAACAAAAGGTTGCAGGTGACAATATTAGGATAGCACTAGCACTAGCGCTTAGACTTATATACTACTTTATAGTGCTATACAGCCCTCTTTAAACAGTTTTACAGAGTCAACATATTGTCCCCAAAAATCTGAGTCCTCATTTTACCCACCTCAGAAGGATAGAAGGCTGAGTCAACCTTGAGCCTGGTGAGATTTGATCTGCCAAACTTCAGGCAGCCAGCAGTCAGGGGAAGTAACCTGCAGTACTGCATTCTAACCATGCCACCATGGCTCATATTGATATTACTGAAAAGGCCTGGACTGATCCTGTTTTTTGAAGAGTAGGCGGGGGAAATCTTTCTCACTTCCATCCTTAAAAATCTTCCAAGCCTCAAAAAGCGGCTTGCAGTTCTGCCACCAAAATTTAATGATACAATTGACTGAATTTTAAATGCATTCTGAACCAAGAGGAGGTGGTTGTGTTTTGTTCTGCTTCTTCACAATAAAAAACAGGCACATACAAACACCAATATTCTCACAGTTGACTTAGAAACCTACCTGTTGTCTTTCCAGACTTTGAAGGCCCAACAATTGCAATTTTAACGGGTACGGTTGGTTTAGGTTTAGGCTGGCGGAGATATTTGAGGGGATTTTTCATAAATTTTTCTCTGTTTTCTTTACTTGTAAAGAAATATATGCAGTTTCGATGAATAACTGGAAAACATGGTGTGTCATCATTTCGAAAGGGCTTGATTGCATCTCCTTCACTTAGCTGCAGTAAATACAGAATTAATGATGTCCAAAATTACATAAATTACAGAGCCCATTGGAGTTGAATAGCCAATTCGCAAGGTCGATAAATATAAATAATAAATAAACAATGTATTATTTGTAACTCATATAATAATTTTTTATTATGTTAAATAGTTTTCTCTAGATTTTGAGAAATAGTAATCTTTTATTTGTGAGGAAGAAGCTAAGCTTCTCTATCCTGCAATTTAAATAATTTATGCTAGTACAAATACTTGCTGAAAAGCTACATTTAAGAATCATTATTACACAATTATAGTGCTATATAAGATTTTTGGAAGTATACCTGAAAGAAGAACAAACTATCTAAAATTAAAATTCTTCAAGTTTGGGAATGTCTGTCAGTCCAAACTTTCCCCTTGAGACAAATTTCACATCAAAAGCTCCTGGAACCTTGAGTTGAAGGCAATCTTTGGCTGTTGCCAGAATGATTTGCTATTACCAAAATACATTGTGGAACTTTCTTTCTTTTCTCCTGGTTGGCTCCATCGTTGTTTAACTTATGCAAGTCCATCAAGGCATGGTTAAATTATCAGGCTGGGAGACCCCAAGGAAATGGTGAGAGTTATTTCCATGGTTATTAATATCTGTCACTCTTCCTTTCCTTTTAAAATTGTAATACTAATTTTTGCATTGTTAACTTATGGGTTGATATGGTATGCTATCTTTTTTGAGATGGGAAGTTATATAAACACGGTGAATAACTAAACCAAAAATAAAATTGTGGATAGTAACTTTATAGTTAAAGTGGTCTATTCAGCAGGCCACTGGCAACTGAGTGGGACTGACTAAGCTCCTATCTTCATAGCTAGCTGTCCTGACTTTTGATTGGTGTTTAGCTGAGTTGGTTTCCAATTGGTGCACATTGGTGAGGGCTGGTCTCTCCACCAAAATGAACAATCAGAATCAGGCAAAAACAAATAACCAATTAGAAACGTGCACCTATTTCCTTAGCCAATAGACAAAACTGCAACTTGAGAAGAACATATCTGCAACCCAAAAATATTTGCATTGCACTGAGTTCTACCAGTTGCAAGACATGACATGAGTGTCTCTTCTGCCAATGTTCTGTTAGGGATTCTGTGGTGGCAAGTGGAACACAGAACTGGCTTCCTAGATATCGTACTATAGAAAAGAAAGTAATTAATGGCTAGCAGCAGGAGGCACTTTGTTGATAGGTAGCTGAAAAAGCAAGAAAAAAGGGATGATGCATTTCTATCCATCCAAAATAGACCTGAAGCCCCATTTGTTGATTTACTCTATATAATAAATTTTTGTTTTAGTAATTAACATTTTATTAATGTAACCTATGATGATGCATCCTTCTTTATAATTATAAATAGTAAAAAGTATATTGAATTGAGAAATACTTTTAGAAAGCAAGCAACCTGATTGTTTGGTTACCTTGATAGGATCCCACTGGCCAAAATTGCTTGGATGTTTATAGGAGAGAACAATCATTTTCCTTGCAAGTAAAAAACTTAGCGGATAACATTTCTCAAAAATACTCTCACGATTTTCTACAAGGTCTTTTATCTTTTTAAACAATTGGTAGCGCACAATGTGAGGCTTTCGTTTGCAAGGGAGATTTATTGTAGGTATGAGTAATTTTTCAAGTTCTTCCTGGGAACAAAGAAGTATACGGTTAAGAGCTATTTTAAGTAAGTACCTTTCACAAAGTCTCAACTAAATCACCACCATGGGCATATAACATGTTAACTAGAGTTATGGAATTGGCAAACTACTTTTCCGAAGAATAGCAGATGGCAAGGATATTAAAAGGATATCACTGCAAAATCCACTAGTGGCATCTGATACGTAGTTACATACATACAAATTATTGACAACCTGCATTTTCAATTGGTTTAATATTGTCATTCATCTTAAATATGTACAATTTTATTCACTGTTTTTTAAGATTCATTAAAATATTCATAGTGGACTGAAGTCAGCTTTGATGATCATGGTAGAAAGAGTAGCTGATGAATGGACTGACTCTCTGAATTCCTCTCTGGATCAAGGAGAGACATAAGATTGCTCACAAGTGCTCTTAATAGAAGCTTCTTGCGAGAAAACCCAAATTTTAATTAATTTCCTTTCCTTTGCTGGATAGCTATATCCCAAGTAACATATTACTGACCAATTCTTCTAAGGCATCTAAGTTATGCAAATTTCTAAACTGTTTAGGCAAATGTTAACACAGAATAGAGATAAATTAGGTATACTGAAAATACCTGCACAGTTTGCATATTTGCAGTATCTGTTTCATATCTCTCTGCAATCTCAGTCTTTAAGCGCTCAATAGCTTCAGTCTCTTGCTCTTCCTCCTCTTCCTCTTCTTCTTCTTTTGGAAACTCATCTTCCAGAATAGCTTCTATATCTTCGTCTTCATCATCATCTTCGTCTTCATCTTCACCTTCAAGCTTCCTTGCCTCATTCTAAAATTAAGCATGTTGCTTAGAATGATTTTTGAAGACTTCTATGAAATAAGTGTTGTCAAATCAACAGCAGAAACAATAGCTGGTTGAAATGCTGCAAGATCGATAGACATGGAACTCAAGAGCCAGTGAAATTTAATTCCCATATGATTGAACTTGTTTTGAATTTATGTACAGATGTTGATGCCACACAAAGTGTTGAGGAACAGCATAGGACAGGGATACTCAACTTTTTTATGGACTAAATCCACATTTGCCCTTTTGGACATGATGGGCACTATAATACAATAAGTAATGTGTGTGATCAGGACAAAAATATATATTTGATTTCATTTCCTAATCTTGATACTTAATTAAAATTAAATATAGCATTGTTAATATAGGAAGATCCAACCTGGGTTGTTCACCATTATATAAGATATGAGAAATTCTCTAAGATGGGCTCCAGCACAAGTCCGAAAGCTTGGAAGACAAAACCTCTGGTCCCAGTGACCAACTCAGATTGGCTCCTGCAACATTATCCTGGGACATGTATATTCAACTTTATTGTATATTCATCAGCTCATTGACAGCTGATGTCAATGAACACAAAGCTTCTTAGTCAATGATTATTCTCTCAAAGCAAAACATTTAAGTACTTTATTCCATTCCAGCCAAATTAGAGAAAAATGTGCCACAATTATAATCTGTGATCATTTAACAATTTCTTTTCTGTTCAATTCCAGCACAGTGTCCAAATACTAATCATTTTATAAATTCTTATAAAATGTTCAAAACAATGTTTAAAAATAGGATTTATGAAATGTAATTTTGCCATTTGAATCTTTCTTACCTCTAATTTCCTTCTTGTTTGTTCAGTTAAAAGCTCTGCCCGTCTTCTAGCAATTTGCTCTTCCTGTTAATGAAATATCCTAATGTACATATTTACATTGTTTCTAACCAACCTACTAATATTAAATCTTTACCCAGATCATAAAGCTAACCACAATTTTTTAAATGAGTCTTCCTCAATTAATAAAAAACACTGGGTGAAAATCAATATAGTAAATCCAGCATGATATATAAAGATGATATGATAGGTTAATCTTAAATAATAGATTGGAAAGTGACTTCAGAAGTCATTTAGCACAACCAACTCAATCCTCGGTGCTAGATCTGCAAAAAATATTTGGATAGTGTACTATCCAACCAGAACATCTATCATTCTGGTTTTAAGCCAGTCTGCTCCAAATAGCCAGCTTACTATAGTTCTTGGCTAGTTAAAAAAAGTCATTAAAACGATTATCAATTATATCATTAATGCTAGTAATACTTACTCGCACTTTCGCCTTCATTTCTCTAATATGCTTCTTCTTTTCCATCTTCTTAGCTTGTTTCTCTTTCCATTTTAGTACTTGTTTCATAAGAAGTCTGTCAGAAATGTCATCTTCTTCAGTTTCGAGACAAACTACAATATCTGGAAAAAGTGAGCGCTCTCCTAAATACTGGACCTCTTCTCCTATTCGTGGAAAACCATCAAGTATAAACCCAGTAGATCTAAATGGAAAATATTTGGAGGGAAAAAGTTGTCACCATTCCTTGGGAGTTTAGTTTGCTTGTTTTTTTTTAAACCAAACAATGAGAAAAACATACTGTTTTGTGGGTAAAGCTAATTGGAGAACACATCAGGAATGTAGAAGACAGTTTTATTTAATTTGATGACTTTGTGTCCCATTTGCAAAAGCAAAAATTCAATTAAAATTGTATGAGTAATAAAGCCAGAAATTAATTTGTTTTGTTGCTTTTTGAATAGGTTAGAATGTTTAAGAGACCGACTAAAACAATGGCTTATGATAATGCATGAGGTAACATGCATTATCATGGCCTGGTTTAGAGTCACATAATTGGTAACAATTTTAGTTGCATCAAATAAAGCTTTGTTTCCAAATCATTTCAGAAACACTGTCCATTTTGGGACATCACACTGTACAAAAGATTCTGAGAGAAAGACAAGAATAATAGGGGGTCCAAACATTTCTTGTGAAAGAAGTCTGAGAGAAATGGATACGATTAGCTTTGCAAAGAAACACTTAGGGGTTAGCTCTCCTCAGATGTCTGAAAGGTTTTTCTCAAAAGAGGAGGCTGTAATTGATTTTTCCTTTTCCCTATAATTTTTCTATTGTCAAATATCAGAGGGTTGAGAAATGCCATAGCACTGGTTAGAAGTGCTTGGGCAAAAAATCATATTCAGTATATTGCAATCAATATAAAAGCAATTTATTTTGGTTTAAAGATGATATCTGTACCCTGAACCCATCACAAGAAATATACTATTGTTACTTTTGGTAATAAAGCAGAAAGAGTGACTTGTTAGTTTATGTATTTTTTCTTATTTCATCTATAGCTTATTGCAATCTCTGAGGCAGAATCGAGGCTTAGTGTGGGTTTTTTAATGCTTCTTAAAAACTCCTGCATTGGAAGAAGAAAGCAAGGTACAAACCATGAATTGGCTACACAAGCTGTAATGACCTTGCTGATTTTCAGGATACCTCCGGGTTGTTTTTTTTAAAAAAATCAGGGTTAAAACAAATCTAGATTTGTTCTTGTCTTACAGGGCTTATGATAAAAAATAAGACTTGTAGGATTAAATATGGAGAAGTATTCCATGTTGGACAAATAATATGTTTGATATTTTCAACTGGAATGTACATGCTATATAGAGGGGGAAAAGTGAGATTATTAAAAAAAACAATAGTTACCGAAATGGCTCCTTCATCCACCAATCAAGAACAATATTATCCAGCACTTCCATGGGAATTGGTTCATTTTCTAATATATTGGCCTTGATTGCTTCTTCCTCATCTGTTAATAGCACATCTTTCTGTTAAAATGATCAAAATACATGAAAAATGATGATCTAATAAGTGATAATGTAATTAAGAACTTTAATAATTTTACATAATTGAAGGTTTCACTTAACTTCCTTTCATATTTGCAGTTACAGTATATACTTATAGAGCATAATATTCAATGCACTATAAAACTAGATAATTTGAATGAAATATATTTATTTCATTTCCCAGAAATGCATTCATGGAACAAATGTATATTTAGTCTGTTCTAATGATATAACTATCTATAAAAAATAGATAGTCCTTGACTTCCTACCACAATTGAGCCCCAAATTTATGTTGCTAAGCAGAACAGTGAATCATTATAGCTGTTAAGCTAGTAACATGCTTGTTAAGTGAATCTGGCTTTTCCATTGACTTTGCTTCTCAGAAAGCTGCAAAAGGTGATCACATGACCCCAAGACTGTAACCGTCATAAATATAAGTCAGTTGAGAAGTGTCTGAATTTTGATCACATTACTATGGGGATGTTGCAATGGTCTTAAGTGGGAACTGCATTTTGGGCATCAGCAACTGCCTTGCATTCATGGCTCTTTGCAGCATCCCATGGTCAAGTGGCTATGGGTTACAACATTTTTGCCAGAAACCAGAATCTACTTCCAATTTCTGGGGGAAAAATGTCCCATAGTGAACAATGGGTTCACTTAATGACCATTACTTTTGCTTTCAAAATGCTATGTTCACTTAATGAGTGCTGGGTTTGCTTAACAAAAGGTCATAAAATTGGATGCAGATCCATGATCACCCAATTAATGATTGTAATTACGGGCTCAATTATGGCGTAAGTTGAGGACTTCTGTATTGTAGAGTAGACATTATATTAGAATCATTCCTACACTGTTGTGGACATTCAACCAAAATAGCATGCACTCTATACACTGGGTTTGGTGTACTGGGCTAATGAAACTTAGTTCTTTTAGACTGATTATATTGCATCATCTCTCCTTCAAACCTCTTTAGCATGCTGTAATATGGAGTCAGTTGGTATATAAAGTGAATAGATGCGAATTTAACATTGTTAAAATAAGAATCAGAAACAAGTAATGTCTTCCTGTAGCCCAACTCCTGTGAGGAGGTTTTTTTTAAAAAAAGGAAATGTGTATGTTGCTTTGTTAATGTGATTTCATGTCTAGGTTAATTCAGCCAAGCCACTGATCTCAATAGTGCAAATTAGTTAAGGGGAGGGAAAGGTGATTAACAGAAAAATTGTCATTGTTTGTAGTATATTGATGGTTACTAGCTGCCAAGATAATGTGTGGCCAAAAACAATAAGATAGATATTGGAGCTCAAGGTGTGTAGAAACAAAGAGGTAATGTAGTGTAGCAATGCAAACATTTATTATCTCTCTTCGTCCATGTGATAAAATACCTATCTGGCCTTGGGACTAGGAAGAGATAAATGAACTGTAAATGGTGGTCATTCAGAAAATATTACTCAGATGTGAGAAATCAGGAAACACGAAAAAGAAAATCAAAATAACACACATACAAACTAATTTTGCTCATTGTAAGATGTAGTACAAAGAAGCTCGGACAGTTTTCAAGATTCTGTAATAGAGTGGTTAAAGAGCTAAAAAGTAGGATTTAGAATTATAGCTTGTCTTCTTCCCATTAACAATATTAGCATCTCCCACCATAGCTTTTTTTGATGGAAACTCATCCTTCACTTTGGAAGAAACTAACAAGTAATATATATAGTAGCTTGATTACCTCATGAATGTGCTTACTTTCCTCTTCACTCTCAAATTCAAATTCAGGTGCACTTTCAGGAATAGTGGATTCTCCCAATTCTTGTGTTCCTTCCCCTTCCTCTTCCTCCTCCTCCTCTTCAGGTCCAACTCTTTTTCCTGTTTTGAGCATGACCAATTCTTGCAAGCGTTCTTCAAATTGAATATGAAAAATATTTAGCTTATCTGCTAACCACCGGGCACAGACTGTTTTACCAGTTCCATGTGGCCCCAACAGACATATTCTTATAGGAGGAGCCTGAAAAGGAAATATGTGAATATAATTATATAGGTTTTTAAAAGAGAAAGTTTTGATCAATAAGATTATCAAATGAATATTTCTAAGAAAAACCTTTTTGAGAAACTTCAGGTAGAAAAGCCATGTTTTCAAACATATTATGACTAATAGTAAATACTTCAGCATGAGTAACAGAATTATATATAGAAAGTATGTTGCATGACAGCTGTTCTACTCAGATGCTGCATTCATACATCTGCACATTTCAAAGCATCTCTTTGGAATCAAATCTGTAGCACTGCATAGCCTTAGCAGTTATACCTTGTGGAAATATCCAGCTAATTTTGGATGATCTCAAAAAGCTAAGCAGGAGTACATAAAGTATGTCATTAGATGAGAGACCATCAGAAATTTCCAGAGCTGGAGTCAAAACTGTGAAGCTGAAAACAGAGCCCAGAAGACGGTAATGATAAACTATTTTTGTAAGAAAACTACATGGATGTGTCTCAGAGAAGACTTTTCCTAACTTACAAAATGAAAATGTGATCTGTATTTTAAGGAAAGGATGGAAACTGTTAGCTATCAAATATTTTAAGATTACAATTCCTAGCATAACCAATCATGCTAGCAAGGAGTGTTTGGAATTGGAACTCAATACTGGTTTTATTGATACACTGAATTGTTACTCATTTAAGTAATAGAGGCGGGTGTATAGTATAATGAGCCCTAGAGCCATCTTCAAACAAAGAAGACAATGCTGATCTCCTGGCAGGTAGACAGTATGAAACCTCTATTTAACTATGCTTGATTTAAGACTTGCCTCTAGAAGTTGCAGGTGCTCCAATATTAAAGGTTTTTAAGAAGAGACTGGATAACCATTTGTCTGAAATAGTACAGGGTTTCCTGCCTGAGCAGAGGGTTGGACTTCCAAGGTCCTTTCCAACTCTGTTATCCTGTTAAGATATTATGGGCTGACATTTTTTCCTTCTATGGCTATCAGAGCCAACAGTATCTTGTAACAGCTGCACTTCAGTATTGAGTTCTGAATCTTCTCTTGCTCAGAAATAACCTCTAATTCAACATATACAGTAATATTCAGATCCAAGTACAACTTACCAGTTGGACTACTTAAGAGGTAAGGAGCCTAGTCTCAAAATGTTTTGCCAGAAAGACTATGCTCCAATAGTTTCTAGAAGATAGTACCGATAGGTCTGATATCTTTACTCCAAGATTTTACTTTGCACTAGAGCAGCTGCTCGTTTAATTCAGCAGTAATTCGTAAATGATATTGTAGTATTTCCCAGATGCTTGGAACGGAAGCTGATTTTGCACATAACAAATCAGTCCAGAAAAATCTTGTGCTGAACCAATTTTTGCTATATGTCAACTTTGGATACACAGTCAAAGTCATGGGGAGACCTGAATATCATTACCTATTATGATCATCATTGCATTCTGCTAAAATATCACGTTAACCACAGATACCCACATGGATGTACATATTTGAAAAATATTAGAACCTCAATGAATGTATGAATGTATGTATGCAAGATCTACATACTTTTAATGGCTCATTGTGAGAAACATATTCCTTAGGATTTTCTAGAAATTTATCTCTGTTTTCTGGAGTTGAGAAATAATAGTATTTTTCTCGATATTTAGCTGCATTTTCAGAATTTCCTGGGTAAAGGATAAAGTTTTCCTTCAGAATCACTGGACAGAAATGCTTTGTATCTCCCATGTGTCTCTTCCTCTCAGCAATTTTTTCTTCATCCTTAAAACAGCAAAATATTTCTGATAAAATTAATTACATTAACACTTTACAGAATCTGGATTTACTCTAACACACTGGCCCAAAACTAGGTAAATCAGAGGGTATGAAGCAGTTGCAGATCCATTGGTTAAGTTATTGAACAAGAATGAGGAATCCAGATTCAATTCCACCCACAGTCGTGGAAACCTATTGGGTGACTTTGGTCAATCACTTTGTCTCTCAAGCCCACCTCTCTCATAGGGTGGTTGTTAGGGGATAAAATAAAGGGAAATTCACATATAAGCTTTCTGGATCTAAGGTTAGATTTAAATCTAATAAACAAATAATTTTAAGAAAACCTCCATTGCTTAGGACGTAACTAGTCTGATCGTGTAGATAAGGAATAAGGAGGTGGGAGAAAAAAAAGTCATGACCAGGAGCCAAGTGTCCAGAAGGACTCCCAAATCATGCACAAGGTTTGTTTGTGGCAGTTCCACCCCATCCAGCTAAGTTTCCAGAGGTCCCCAAACCCAAGCCTATTTAGTCTTGCTATATTGGGCTGAAGCCTATTGTTCCCCATCCAAACTCCCACAGCCTCCAAATACCAAAACAAGGTATCAGCAGCCTTGTCCCATGGCAACAGATGACTTCCTATAGATGTTAAACAGGAGCAGAGAGAGTATTGAACCCTGCAGGACTCCACGAAATAAGGGTTGTGGATAGACTTCTTCAGCCACCAGGCTTGCATAAATGCAAACATTGCATTCTTGAAGTTATACTCTTTTTATCAAGATGAAGTTATATACATTTTTATCTTTCATAACATCATTCAGTAAATTACAGTTTAAAATAATCTATTGAGTTGAGAGCTAGAGCTTACTTCTTCCTCTTCTTCTTCTTCCTCTTCATCACCCTCTTCTTCTTCTTCTGCCTGTGCCTCGGCTTCAGCCTGCAAATCTTCTTGTTCTTCATCATCATCTTCAGGTGATAATTCCCAGCCATGATATTTAAAAGTTTCTGTCAGAGATAATCAGTTTTCAGACCATATTTTTTTTAAAAAACAAATACTATACATGTAGGACCAGAGATAAAATATGAATATACATGGAATTCTATATGATAATGAAATTCTTCAAGCTACAGATTGAGCAGATTATATACTCTGGTATTTCAGACATTTATTAGGAGTCTAATTCACAAATTCCTAACCATCATGAAAAGTTGGTAGAACATGTTAAAAACTAGAGTTCTAACATAACACATTGGTGTGTTTGTGTACAAATACGGAATTGCTGAAATCAGTAGGTCATAAGGAATATCCTTGTGCACATAACTATGTGCTCCTAACCACAGTAATGCTATAATGAAAAAATATCTTGTGATATCATAACATTAGTCCCACCCTTTTATAGGTATGTATTAATTAACCAGGCCCTATGCCAGGATCTTCTAGGTAATAAACAGCATCCTGAATTTCACCTGGAAGCAAACCAGCAATCAGTGCAACTTGTGAAGCAGAGATCTTACATGGGCATAGTGAGGCATGCTCATCGCTGCTTAGACCATCATATTCTGGACCAGTTGAAGGTTCTAGGTTGTCTTTAAGGAAGCTCCATCTAGACAGCATTGCAATAGTCAAGCCAAGAAGTAACTAGGGCATAGGTGGCTGTCTGAAGACCCCCTGGTTCAGAAAGGATGCATCTGGTGTACTAGATCGAGTAGTGCAAAGTTCCTGGCTACAATGGACATCTACTCTTCAAGCAGGAGCTGCAAGTTTATATTCACAACTAATATTTGATCCTAGTTTACTTTAATTTACTTTATTGTCATTGCATTTCATACAACGAAATTTAATACCATCTTCAGTGTACATTATGACTATGAAAATAAACACAAACACACATCCTTCACATTCTATACATTGAATTGAAAACTCCTGATATAGCATTAATATTGCACTATACAGTAGAATTCAATAGAGTTACTTCCCTGGGATAGAAGCTGTTTTTCAGCTTGTCTTTGTTTTAACTATCCTGTACTATCTGCCTGATGGTAATAGTTCAAAAAAAGGGTGCCAAGATGAGATGGATCTTTGAGAATGTTTTGAACTTTCTTAAGGCAGTGGGAACTATAAAGCTCTTCCAAAGAGGGGAAAGGGCAACCAATGATCCTCTGGGCAGTGATGTTAACCTTCTGGAGTGCTGTCCTATCTGCCCCTGTGCAATTGGCAAACCATATACAGGTGCAGTAAGTTAAGATACTCTCTTTGGTGCAGCGGTAGAAGGTCACCAGCAGTTTTTCATTTAGTTGTTTTCTGAGAAGTCTCAGGTAGTATAATCTCTGCTAGACCTTTTTGACCAGTCCTGCAATGTGAGCACCCCAGGTCAGGTCCTCTTTTATGATAACACCCAGAAACTTAAAACTGGCCACTTGCTCCACTCGGTCTCCATTATTAAGCAAGGGCTGGATGTCTGATTGGTTCCTTCTATAATCCACTACGAGCTCCTTGGTCTTATTGGTGTTGAGGACCAAGTTATTGTCTCCACATCATGAAAGCAACCAGTCCATCTCATCTCGGTAGGCAGACTCATCCACCCGGAGATAAGTCCCACCACTGTTGTATCACCTGCAAATTTAGTAATAGTATTACTAGCGTGAGTGGGAATGCAGTCATGCACATAAAGAGTATAGAGTAAGGGACTCAACATGCAACCCTGTGGTGTACCAGTGTTAAGAATAAAGGCTGAAGAGGTATGATTACCTAATTTGACCCTCTGTGACCAGCCAGACAGGAAATCCATAATCCAAAGGCAGACTGAATAAGAAAGTCCAAGGTTCAGAACAGTGGTGGGATTCAATTTTTTTTACTACCGGTTATGTGGGTGTGGCTTGGTAGGTGTGGCCATGTGACTGGGTGGGTGTGGCTTTTTTTTGCTTTTTTGCCGCTCCCACCCATTTTGGGGAGCTTCCTAGCCTCAGAGGAGCTTCGGGGGGGGGGCGTTTTTGCTCCCCTGAGGTTCCTCTGAGGCTCAGGAAGAAAAAAAAACAGAACATGGGAGGGTCATGCAACACCCATCCAAGCTCCGTTTTAACAGATAACAGATAATCAGAGTTGGAAGGGACTTTGTAGGTTATCTAGTCCAACCCCCCACCCAAGCGGGAGACCCTACACCATTTCTGACAAATGGCAGTCCAATCTCCTTGAAAGTCTCAAGTGATGGCGCTCCCACAACTTCTGAGGGCAAGCTGTTCCATTGGTTGATTGTTCTCACTGTCGGAAAGTTTCTCCTTGTTTCCAGGTTACATCTCTTCTTGTTCAGTTTCCATCCATTATTCCTTGTCTGGCCTACAGGCGCTTTAGAAAATAGCTTGACCCCTTCCTCCCTGTGGCAGCCCCTCAAATATTAGAAGACCACTATCATGTCTCCCCTGATCCTTTTCTCCACTAGACTAGCCATGTCCAGTTCCTGCAACTGTTCATTGTATGCCCCCTAATCATCCTGGGTGCTCTTCTCTGTACTTTTTCTAGAGTCTCAACATCTTTTTTATAATGTGGTGACCAAACCTGGATGCAGTACTCTAGGTGTGGTCTTACTAAAGCTTTATAGAGTGGTATTAGTACTTCCCTTGATCTTGATTGTATCCCTCTGTTAATACAATTTAGGATTGCATTAGCTTTTTTGGCTGCTGCTGCACACTGCTGGCTCATATTTAGCTGGTTGTCCACTAAGACTCCAAGATCCCTCTCCCATTACTGCTATTAAGCCTGATTTCACCCAGTCTATAATTTTTTCTTGCCTAAGTGTAGGACTTTACTTTTCTCTACATTGAATTTCATTTTGTTAGATATGGCCCAGTGTTCTAGTCTGACAAGATCCATCTGGATCTTGAGCCTATCTTCTTGGGTGTTTATTCCTACCAGCTTAGTATCATCTACAAATTTGGTAAGTTCCCCTTCTATTCCCTCATCTAAGTCGTTAATGAAGATATTGAAGAGTACTGGGCCTAAGACAGAACCTTGTGGCACCCCACTGCTTACTTCCCTCTATGTAGACTTAGACCCATTAAGGACTACTTGTTTTGGGAGCTTCCTAGCCTCAGAGGAGCCTCGGGGGGGCATTTTTGCTCCCCTAAGGCTGCTCTGGAACTCTGGAAGGCAAAAAATGGAGGGGGGGCTGAGCTCCTCCCTCCATTTTTTGCCTTCCTGGGCCTCAGCAAGGAGAATCCCGGCTCAGCTGATCTATACACAGCTGATTGTTGGGAGGAAAAAAAAATACCTTAGGCGAATGTCGGGTGGGTAAGTGAGCATCGGGCAGGAGGGTGACTGGATTGGGGGCATGGCCAGCCAGAAGTTACTACCGGTTTGGCAACTCACGCCAAATTCTTGCTACCGGTTTGCCTGATCCAGTGTGAACCGGCTGAATACCACCACTGGTACAGAAGTTTAGACACTAGTCTATGTGGAAGAATTGTGTTAAATTCTTGTGTCAAATTCTAAAAATTGTGTTAAATGTCTTTTCTAAGAGACAATTGAGCAGGAAAAGCCATCATATTTGAAAAGTATATCTTCCTTTCATTCATTCTCTTCAAATAGACTATAATTAATTGCATCCTCTGATTTTCTGGAAGAAAAAATAAGTCCTGTTTTGTTCATTTATCTCTAGATGAAGCCACTCAGCTTGGTCAACATTGCCTTGAATTTCATAATCAAATGGCAAGAACACTTTTCTATTTCCTTCTATTCTCCTGCTGGCAGTCCATTTAAAAAAAGCCTTTTAAAATGTTCTATCTTAGTATATGAATACTTTTTCTGATATGAATAAAAGAAGTCATGTTGATTATTTACGATAGTGCATTCATATTAAAACAGCCTTTTTATTAAACCAATTAAAGGGTTATAGGATGTTAAATATTAACTTCAAATGATGTTCTTCCTGTTATTATTTATTTTCTAAGTAGTAGAAGAACGTGTACATACAATTACATTGGCTGCAATTATAAGATGTTGTTAGCCTCTTCAGAAGTAGCTCATAACTTGTACAAGCTTGCTTTAACCAAATTTTATTTATAATTTGAAGAAATTGTTAATAAAACAAAGCCAAAAACCGCCCAAAATCTCCCGAGGAAGAAATAATTTTGAAAGAACAGTGAATGTGAATTACTTACGTTGCATAGCTTGTACACTCTTATTAAGCAGCTTTTCTGGAGTCTGCTCATCAATCTCCAATTCAGTAATCTGGACCAAAGGTGATTCTGCAACGTGTGCCTCTAATTTTTGCCAGTTATTTTGGAACTGGCTGAGCTTGTTTTTAAATGGCTCTATTTCTACTACATCTGGAAAACCACCCTCAGGATATTCAGGCATTGTGACTCCTAAACAAATCAAGTTGCATTTTAGGAAACAATTATGTATTAACAGTTATTTATTAACACATAAGATGCTCTCTTATGTGTGCTGGCAAGACTTTCTTCTTGATACTCTGTCCAGTTCTTATGGAGCCACAATGGAAGACTTCACAAGAAGGAGGACGGACAAACTAAATAGACCTGGGAGGACTTCTGCAGAAGTTCAGAAATCTGAAAGGGGGAGGGAGAAATACTTAACAAGTGAAATTCCTTTAGTAGCTCAATGAGAAATAGGTCTGCCAATGAAACTATTGAGGGAAAAGTGAAAAATTGGATAGAGGAAGCATGAAGTATTCTAAAAAAGGACATAGCGACAGCAATAGCACATAGACTTATATACTGCTTTACAGTGCTTTACAGCCCTCTCTGTAAGCGGTTTATAGAGTCAGCATATTGCCCCCAACAATCTGGATCCTCATTTTTCCCATTTCAGAAGGATGGAAGGTGAGATTTGAACTGTCAAATTGCAGGCAGCTGGCAGTCAGCAGAAGTAGCCTAGAGCACTCAAACCACTGTGCCACCGTGGCTCATAACTGCAACATTAAACTGGGACAGGACACACAACCAAAGTTTGTTTCAACTATACATTTTTAAGAAAAAGAATTGGAATGATTATATAAAGCCATTCTTTGTGAGTTATTCAATGCAGACCACCCCGTGGCAGGATGAGTGACCCAGTTAATCACTAACCTAGTTCAGATGCAATACTTTTCAGGTGTTCATATTGTGATACAGATTTTTTTTCACTTTCAGGGGGTTCTGTTGATTCTGTGGAGACCCGGAGAGAATCATTATTACTTAATTTTGCATAGTGTATTTGAAATGTTAAGAGCTTTCAAAATATTTAGGAAATTAGCAGTTTTGGTCTTCTCCAAATTTTCACTTTGTAGGCTTTGCTTCTGAAAGTTTATCAACTTAAGCCAGTAAGAATATATATGCACACACACACACATACATATACACCGCTCAAAAAAATAAAGGGAACACTTAAACAACACAATATAACTCCAAGTCAATCACACTTCTGTGAAATCAAATTGTCCACTTAGGTACCAACACTGATTGACAATCAATTTCACATGCTGTTGTGCAAATGGAATAGACAACAGGTGGAAAGCATAGGCAGTTAGCAAGACATCCCCAATAAAGGAGTGGTTCTGCAGGTGGTGACCACAGACCACTTCTCAGTTCCTATGCTTTCTGGCTGATGGTTTGGTGCTTTCACTCTAGTGGTAGCATGAGACGGAGTCTACAACCACACAAGTGGCTCAGGTAGTGCAGCTTATCCAGGATGGCACATCAATGTGAGCTGTGGCAAGAAGGTTTGCTGTGTCTGTCAGTGAAGTGTCCAGAGCATGGAGGTGATACCAGGAGACAGGCCAGTACATCAGGAGACATGGAGGAGGCCATAGGAGGGCAACAACCCAGCATCAGGACTGCTACCTCCGCCTTTGTGTAAGGAGGGACAGGAGGAACACTGCCAGAGCACTGCAAAATGACCTCCAACAGGCCACAAATGTGCATGTGGCTGCTCAAACGGTCAGAAACAGACTCCATGAGGGTGGTATGAGGGCCCGACGTCCACAGGTGGGGGTTGTGCTTATAGCCCAACACCATACAGGACGTTTGGCATTTGCCAGAGAACACCAAGATTGGCAAATTCGCCACTGGCGCCCTGTGCTCTTCACAGATGAAAGCAGGTTCACACTGAGCACATGTGACAGACATGACAGGGTCTGGAGACACCGTGGAGAACGTTCTGCTGCCTGCAACATCCTCCAGAGTGACCGGTTTGGCAGTGGGTCAGTAATGGTGTGGGGTGGCATTTCTTTAGAGGGCTGCACAGCCCTCCATGTGCTCACCAGAGGAAGCCTGACTGCCATTAGGTACCGAGATGAGATCCTCAGACCCCTTGTGAGACCATACGCTGGTGCAGTTGGCCCTGGGTTCCTCCTAATGCAAGACAATGATAGACCTCATGTGGCTAGAGTGTCAGCAGTTCCTGCAGGACGAAGGCATTGATGCTATGGACTGGCCTGCCCGTTCCCCAGACCTGAATCCAATTGAGCACATCTGGTACATCATGTCTCGCTTTGTCCACCAATGCCACGTTGCACCACAGACTGTCCAGGAGTTGGGGGATGCTTTAGTCCAGGTGTGGGAGGAGATCCCTCAGGAGACCATCCGTCAACTCATCAGGAGCATGCCCAGGCATTGTAGGGAGGTCATACAGGCATATGGAGGCCACACACACTACTGAGCCTCATTCTGGTAAGAATATTTCATTCATTCAGACCTAGGATGTCTTATTTTTGTGTTCCCTTTATTTTTTTGAGCAGTGTATATTAGATGGTGATAAATAACGAAATATAAATAGTGATATTTAGTAAATACATTGGTGATGATGATGATAGATTTATAAGCCCATCAAATTACAGATGCTCTTTGTATGTTTACATTAAAAATACAGTGAAAACAAAACACTAATAGTGACATAGGATTAAAGGAATAAAAATAGTTGTCTCCTTTAATGAACTATATATATATATATATATATATATGTATATAAATCTAACCTGTCTTAGATTCTTGTTCTGTAGAGTCTGTAGAAACCTGTGCTTCAGTACTCTGATCTACAAGCTGCACTGTTTCTGTAAACAGGTATATAAAAACACTGAGGTTTCTTATTAAATGAATTTCCCCTGATCCATGCAATCATGGTAAAGCTAAAAAATATGCCAAGAAACCATAAAGTTATAGAGAACTGAAGATTATTAAAATAAAACTATTGAATAAAAGTTAATGCAAATTGTACAAAGAAGGGAGACAGTCTAATTATGTTAATTTGTCATGTATAATTGCTGTGATGCAAATTCGACTGGAACTTCAATAGCTGGTACCAAGGAGGTAAGCTGATTTTCACATTCAATCTTTCCATTATGTAATTGAAAAAAAAACCCCATAATTGTATTCTTTAGGATAGCTGCTGTCAGTCTTTATAACATGACCTGTTTTAGTTCTTCAAAAGCCTTGGCAGTATCCCCACAGGTTCCATATATTGTTACAAAATTATAATTTTAAATGTGAATAAAGAGGAAAATTATTAATACATCATTGGAGAGTAACTTTGTCAATATTACTTTGTAATATGTAATTTCTGTGAAATTTTAATTTCTTTGTGATCATTCTGCCCAATGCATACTTAAGTCGTGTGTTTGGGATGTATAATTTTACAGGCCAGATGTGGCTCTCAATAACTCACATATTAGCATTTTAGATATTAATCTGCTAGTAGGATTCAAATGACATCTTAGTTCAGTCAGTGCAGAAATGGGTGTTTCCATATGAGAATTATACTTTAAGAATGTCTTAACAGACAGAATAATACTAGAACATTGTAAAAGAAATTGGAAAATGAATACATGGTAAGAAAAATACTTTGCTGCCCTCAGATTTTCTATAGCAAAGATACAGACACAATAATGTAATAAAACAACTTGATGCTTGTCAGAAAACAAAGATATCTGTGATATCCTAGCCTCCGGATATTTCTTTCTGTTTAGATTCAGAAAAATCACCTTGTCCTGGTTGGCCTCTTTCAATCCCAAAGCTACCTTCCAGAAACTCCGTAGATTCTATAAATATAAGAAAAATGTTTTTATGGAAACATTTATTTTGGAACTTGTGGGACTGTACTATAAACAATATAAACAGTTAAGAAAGTTATCAGACAACCCAAAATTAGATCCCAATTTAGGCTTTAGAAAAACATATAATACAATCAGACCAGAATCCTAAAATTACAAATAAAGAGAGTGCTAGATTCCACAGTTTAGAACAGGGGTGTCAAACTCAGGTCCCCGGGACCAGATCCGGCCCATGGGGTGCTTAGATCTGGCCCACGGGGCTGCCCTGGAAACAGCAAAGGACTAGCCCGTGGTGCCTCTGCCAGCAAAATGGAGCTTGGGAGGGCCGCAGGTAGAGGATTGCAAGAGGCCATTAGAGCAAAAAACGAAGCTCGGGAGCCCGTTTTCGCTGGCAGAATACTCAGGCCATCACAGGCGCCCCCCAATACGAGTGACATCGAGCTGACAATGCCTACTCTGGTCTGCAGCCCTCTGAGGTCAAACACAACCCTAATGCAGCCCTCAATGAAATAGAGTTTGATGCCCCTGGTTTAGAGTTATAAGGAATATTTGCACATCCATGAGATTTCATCCATTTTCAGCACTTGGAATAATTGCTTGGGCTAGCCATTAGAAATTGATGGCCTCACATCTGTGGAATTTATTTCCTGATACTGTTATGAGGCTCTTGCCCAAGCCATTCATTTGCTTAATTTCTCCTAATGCACTTATAATGTGCATCAGCTACCTTTTTTATGTTTTGCCTGTCCTATTCATATATTCTATGAGTATGTATGGTTGGCATGATGAATGGTAGAGATAGGGTCATGTCCCAAGATTTAAATTCTTCCTTGTTAGTAGTGTTGTGAGTTTAACAATATGATTAATATGCACAAAATTAACTTCATTGCTGTAATAATTCTAAATACACAATTGTATTTCTTACCTCTCTCTTCAGCAGATTCCTCAGCTTGCAATTTTAATATTTCTTGCAGTTCTCTTCTGCAATTAGAAGTTCAAGCAATTTATTATTTATTTAGCATAAGATGAGAACATGACAGAAGAGAAGTAAACATAGAGACACGGTACATGCAATTATAAGTAAAACGTGGCCTCATAAGTGGATCTCCAATTCAGCTATCCAGGCAATTGCCTCTGGTGTTCATTCAGATCTTCTAGGGAATAAGAGAACACATGTTGTGGGCAATCTTGCCCAATTTGCTTAATAATTTGCATATCAGCATCACAATCGCATCAAGGGGAATCTTACCATCCCCACTGCTACAGGGCAGAGGCAATACTTCCAGTATCACACCTAATTGTGTTCAATTTCGACCAGAAAAAGGCAGTCAAGTCAAAAGCCGTTGGTTTGGTAGAGGGATCACTAATGGTCAAGCCACAAGTAGGTATCTTGGACCATTTCTCTCTCCAGGCATTCTTAGGGTTAAACTGGGTAGATGTTTGTCATGTCCCCATCAGAGCCTGAATCTGTAGAGGAGGATAAGCCAGAGCTGAAGCCGATGGAGATTGAAGGGGTGGGCTTCTTTGGCTTTGGAGGAATGTTGGAAGGAGCAGCGAAGAAGAAAACTGAAGAAGCTTCTTGGATGAGAAGCTACATGTCTTCCAAGAAAAACCAGAAAGTTAGTTGCCTCTTGAAAAAAGTGCCTTTAGGACAACCATGACCTGAATGACTGAGAATCTCCATAGACAAAGCCAAGGCTGTTGTTCATAGGGTGTTAGCATCAGCATCGCAGGATGTTCCAGCCAATCTGTTCAGTAAATTGCTGTGGCTTTTTGCAGCCGTTTTTCCAGGTGTCGCTGGCAGGTTAATGATCTGCCCAGTGTTACCCTTAGGTACTTTGGATAATTATTACATTGTAAAATACAGTTCTAGAACTTCACTGAAGGCTGGTAATTTGCTTATCTATTGCTGAGGTGGAATGTGGCTACTTCCATTTTTGTTAGGCTTGGTTGGAGGTGCCATTTTTTGAAGTAGAATTCAAACAATTCAAATGATAATATAACATGAATGAAAATGAACTGCAATCTTCCTGAATATCAATTATTCTAAAAAAAATATCTAAAATCAGTCTAACAGGTTATACACATTTTGGGGAAAAAGAATAGTTGAATCTGGACTGGGCTTCTTAGCAATTAAATTTACTCTTAAAGGTAAGCCATGGCGCAAAAGAATACCAGGGTTTGGGTTTTTTTTTTTTACATCGACCAATCTTCATTGTAGTCTGTTTTAATTAACTCTTTTTCTTCCCCCTCCCCTCTCCAAATACTTGCTTTGCTTCTTCTTCCTCTTGTTTCTTTTTCAAAGCATCATCTATTAGCCTTTGCATTATCTGAACATCAATTTCTTCTTTATGTGCTTCGTACAGTCTATGCAGTATTAGCTGTCCTGCAATATAATAGGAAACAATGCATCAGAAAAGGGCTGTCAGAAACTATACAACTTTTTTTTAAAAAGATACATTGTTGATCCCAATAATAATGCTTAACTGCATAATGCTCCCGATAATAACAATGAACTGTATTAGATAGTGTTCTTTAGGCAATTGCTTTAAATGTTTTAAGAAATCAAATGTCTTTCAATACCTGGATAAATTCAGTTGAGTAGCTGAAGGAAATAAATAGTATATCACTATTTATGCCTCACTTTAATGAATGTATGCATTAATCAAGGAATTAAACTGGTGGTAAAGTAGGATATAGTCATGGTAGGATTAATGTATCAATTCTCTGTACAGTTCTTTTCTATGTTATTTGCAAATTGAAACTGAAAATTTTTTTAAAGCAGGGTTTGAATCTCTAGCTATGGTCAGGCTTCAGGTTCCCTAACTTCTGATTAGCGATATTGGATGAGACTGATGGGAATTGGAATCCAACAACAACATCCACATTTTTAGAGATTGAATTCCACAGCTTGGAAAAAGAATGTGTTGAAAACTTAACCACTTCAGCTATGATGGTTATTCCTTAAGTGACATTCATTTATATATTCCTGTCTAAATATGCACTAACCATTTTGTTCAACGTTTTTCAAACAAATCACAATGTCAGGTAGGAGTCCTTTTTCTAACAAAGCAATCCAATGTTCTACCAGTGGAGGGAAATTATCTACCACCCATCCTCCTTTACATGCAGCTCCAGGATATCTGCTTGAATTTGTCTTCTGTAGCTGAAATAAAAGAGTGCAATTAGCATATTAAATGGTTGAATGTGCAGAATGACAGGTGCATTGTTTAGAATAAAGATACATTTTTGAGCTCAGTTGATTGACTTGCATAATTTCTATCCTCAGAATAGAATTTTCATCAACTATTGCAACGAGCTAATTCATTAAAAATTATTTTACATATCAGAGAGAGACCGCTACAAAATTATTACAATCTGCACTTGCTAGGCAAAACCCTTTTCCTATAATTCTATAATAACCCTGTTGTTCTAAAGCAAGGGTATCAAACTTGAATCATCGCAGCGGCATCACGTGATATATAGAGACTTCCCCACCTTCGCTAAATTGGGCGGGGGTGTGACCAGAGCATGATGCATCTGGCTTGCAGGCCGCGAGTTTGACAGCCCTGTTCTAAAGACTCATTTTTTTGTTCAGTCCTTACATATAATTCAGATAACAGAATAACAGAGTTGGAAGGGACCTTGGAGGTCTTCTAGTCCAACCCCCTGCTCAGGCAGGAAACCCTATACCGGTGGTGGTTTGCTGGCAACAATCAGGTGGACATTCCCGAGAAGCCTGTGCTGGATGTGAGTGAGAGCAGGATGATTCATGGAAGAGCAGCACAGGTGAGTCGGGAGTAAGAATGCTAATTAATGGCCCCTCCCTCTGGGGAATATAAGTCTGGTTTCAAACGGCTTTTGCCTTTGCAAAAGGCAAAAGTTCGAAGGAGTTAGTGTGATGATTACAGACTCTGATTTATTGAACTAATTGGCTGCAAGCCATCTGTTATCTACAAAGAGGGTTGTGGAATAAAGCCGTGAACATTTCAGTTTTGGAGTTTATCTGTGTTTGCTCTCAGAAACTTCGGCTGGGACAGAACAATACCATTTCAGACAAATGGTCATCCAATCTCTTCTTTAAAAATTCCAGTGTTGGAGCAGAAGTTGTAAATAGGGATTCTTGCCAGAGCAGGCGGTTAGAATGAAGATCTCCAAGGTCCCTTCCAACTCTTGTTATTTTGTTAAATGATTATCAAATTGTTGTAGCCCTATGATTTTTCTGGGACTGTTCCAAGAAGATTTTTTAGAGTTTACTGGCTTTGCAATACTTAGCTCCCTTTCTTTTTTGCTTTCCGATTATTAAATTTAGAACATTTAAAGAAACGGCCTTTTCATTTTTCTTTGGATGGTTCTTTTTAATTAAGCTAATATCAAGTATCCTTCTTGTGCTGGGAGTGGAAGAAGCAGAAATCCAGAGTGGGCCACTAACAGTGAAAGCCTGCATTAGTTTGTTCAAGAATAATGTTTATCATGCTTATTGAGGGTTTCTTGCACACCACTCTCATGACCTCTCTGCCTATCAATAAAATAGCAACAGCAATAAAATAGATATGGCTTGCAAACACAAATCCTTTAATTAATAAAAATATAACATTTCATGTGAAGATTATGTGAAGATTATATTTTTGTGAATAAAAAAGATGAAGCAAAGCATTGGTAAATAATACAGCATTATGTTGAATTCTGCATGGAACACTGCATGAATCAGATTTGATGTTTGGAACACTAAAAACATTTCATCTTTCTGGCCAACAATATTTTTATAAGTTGCAAAGGAATGTCTGTAGACCTACAACATCCACACAGATTTTTTTTTTTTTTTGTGGTCAATTACGTGTTAAAGAAGTGACATTTGGCGACCAGCATAACTGGAAACACTGGAATGAGAGTTACATTCATTTCGGGAAGTTCTGCGAATGAAAAGCAGATTTCCTCGAGATTTAAAAACAGAAACAAAAATGCATCAGATTTACAATGAAAATGGCAGGTCCCTAGTATACCATAGTGATTACAAGACATTTCAACATTTTTTATTAGAGATTTTGTTTAGAAATTGTTCAATCTTGTCTGATTCTTGGAGACTGCCTGGACAAATCTCCATAGTTTTCTTGACAAGATTTTTCAAAAATGGCTTGCCTTCTTCCTAGGACCAAGAGAAAGTGACTGGACCCAAGTTACCCAGCTGTCTTTATGCCTATGGCATAATTATAAAGCACAGACTCCTGGTTTAAAGCCTAATGCTTTAACCACTATAACAAACTGGCTCTCTTTAGAAATCTTAGAGAAGTCTAATTTTTTTTTTAGTAACAACAACATTCTTCTATAGCCCCAAAAATCCTTTGTAAGAAAAGGACATTACAAAATTCAAAATGCCTCTGGGACATAAAATGTATAATATACAAAAAGAGAAGAGCATTCTAAAAATGAGTAATGGGGAACAATTAAAGACTTTTTAAAAGGATATTCTCCAATTATGAGAAAGGCGTACTTTGGGGTTTCTTAATAGCTCTAATAAATGACATATTCCAGACTGATTGTTTCTATGCCATAGTGAAATTACTCTCTGTATGCAAACACTAGAATTTAGATTTAAACTAATCTGTAATCTTCCATATAACATTCGAAATTGGTAATTATTTACATAATTTTAAATACATTAAATAACATGCTGGTTATAGAAAGATCTTTCTATCATGCATGCCTTTCATTTGAGCCTGGTGCTTTTACCTCTTCAATAGTTTCTTCTAATACGTCCGCATATGTTTCTGGTGGCAGAGTAATTGGAGACAGCATTGCAGCTTCTAGAGCGCTCTGGACCACTTCTTGGATATCTGGATGGTCAAGAGGGATCTCTGACTCTGCTGGTACTGATGAGATATCTGCTTATTATATAGAAAAAAAAATCCATGTGTAAGTATCTATATAGTAAATATAGTGAACACTAAAAAATCCTGTTAATATTACTACATGGAATGGAAGCTTGCATTAGTGGAATAAAAAGGCCCTCTTTTTCAAATCTGAACTCAAGGATTGTATGAACTTCTGAATAAATATGGTGGGAGCAGGGAGAAGAGGAAAAGGGGAAACGCCACTGCTTAAGCAAAATTCTGCCTATACAATGTTTGATAATGTTCTAGATGTTCTTTTGGACAGTTTAAAAAAAATACTGTACTGGTTTTGTTATGGGTTGAAAGAATGTATTACAAAATATAGATTTCATATTTAAGAAAGCTTGTTAGCGAGAGGGAGCCTGGCCCACACAAGAACATGTCTGTCTTCTCCTATTACTCATGATACTTAACAGATACTTAACAGATAATCAGAGTTGGAAGGGACCTTGTAGGTCATCTAGTCCAACCCCCTGCCCAAGCGGAGACCCTACACCATTTCTGACAAATGGCAATCCAATCTCTTCTTGAAAGTCTCAATTGATGAAGCTCCCACGACTTCCGAGGGCAAGCTGTTCCATTGGTTGATTGTTCTCACTGTCAGAAAGTTTCTCCTTGTTTCCAGGTTAAATCTCTCCTTTTTCAGTTTCCATCCATTATTCCTTGTCTGGCCTACAGGCGCTTTAGAAAATAGCTGATCCCTTCCTCCCTATGTGGCAGCCCCTCATACCAAATGTTGAAGAGAAATATTTAGGAAAGAAAGCATGGGCGAGGGGGGGAAATCTCATAGTGAGTTGCATACTGCCAGCAAAAGGAGCATTTATATTTGCAACCTGGGAGAATAAAAATTCTGATCCAGGAAGAAAGAAAGAGTCTCCTTATGTTAAGCGAAGGATAAAGTTTGACTCTTCCATTAATTTCACCATGACAAAGCAGGAAATGCAAGCGCTGTGCATCAAATCATGCCCAAATCATATAAGATAAATGATAGTGAAAGATGCCCATCTCCATAGCTCTCAATAACATATAAATGTTTGGATCAAGTGAGCAAAATACCCTATAACCCAGCAATAATTGATATTCTTCGATTACAGCAAATAATGCTTCCACTAGATATTTATTATTAAGGCCGATTACTTCGGCCTTTTAAGGTAGGCCAAGTCATAAAACAGACTTCACAAATCTGAACTCTATTCTGATATAGAAGACGGAGGGAGTGGGAGAGAAAAAACCAGAATCTTGACAGTCCAACTGAATTTTCTCCTCCTGCCCTCTTATACCCTTAGTGAATTAGGGCAGAGTCAATCTGAGCTTTTAAATATACATTTTACATTGTTTTGTGGCTTAATGTACATAACCATCATTATTTCTGCCTAATTTCCACATTCTAGCCACAATACCTATTTGTTCTGCAGACTGGGATGAAGACATTTCTTCAGTCTCATCTTCTTCTTTTATTACACTCCCTTGTTTTATGGTACTGTCCTCTAGACAGGTATTAAGAGACATAAAATACAATGAGTTATGCAGACAACATCTTTCTGTGGACTCACATGGTTGATTCACATAATACTCTAAATCAGAACATGGTTTCTTTGATTTTGCTTAGACCTGCCACTGAAAAGAATGTATTGGGATTGACATCAACACAGGAAGGAACAATTATGCCAAGGATCTGTATGGTGTAAAAACAGGTTACATCTCTATTTGATTATCCTGGTGTAATTAAAAACCACACTGATCGATCTTTAAAATTTGGTATGCAGGAGCAAAGCTTAATAATGGTTACTGCAGGACATAGGAAGTAGAACTTTAAGTTTTCCCTTTCTGGCTATGATATCACTTGTGAAGTTAGTAACACAATTGTTAAGTGAATCTAGCTTCCCCATTGACTTTCCTTGTCAAAAGGTTACAAAAGGTAACCACATGACCCCAGAACACTACAACCATCATAAATATGAGTTGCCAAGTATCTGAATTTTGATCACATGAGGATGCTGTAATAGTTGTAAGTGTGAAAAACAGTCTTAAGTCACTTTTATCAGTGATCTTGTGACTTCAGTCACTTAAGTCAACTACCCGTATGTGCTTCAAAGGAACAACATCCCCAACTTTGGTAGAAAAATTTTGATCAGGAGAATAATGTAGGCGAGGGTTAATTTTTCTTCTTCTTCTGTGCCATAGCTTGCATATACTAGAGAATCCTTTTTTCTCCACTGTTTATTAGATTTTGCTAAAGAGATGGACAACATGCTTTTATAACATATAATTCTCACAAAGACATGCCTGGTCTTTAAATATTTACAGCTGGGAAATAAAAAAATGGGAGAGAATTTGAGAGAAAATTTAAAAAATAAAAACAAATGAATTTTAGCAAACAAAAGCTTAAGGAATGTTGACTTACACCACCCTCCAACATGTGATAACCCAGAAGTAAGTCTCATTGAATTCAGGTGAATTTAATCCTAGGGAATTGGAATAGGATTGCAGGCTTAAACTCATATCTGGTTGCTTAAACCAGTTGGGCATAACCATGAATCATAAAATACAGTGCAGCATATGTAATCGTGTCCTCAAAATGGACTTGCATGGATATCAGATCTGCTTTCAAATTCCATATAAAATAAAAATAATGTGTCTATTATCTATTGTATCTTGCTTACTGTTACTTCATAATTTTTCATAATTATGACTATCCTCCTTTGATATAAAAATAATTCAATTTAAGATTAAGAAATAACGTATGGCACATATTTTCCCATCCTTCCTTCATATAGTAGAGGAAAAGACTGGCCAAGTGAAAAAACACTTTACCTGCGGTTTATTTAAATTTCAACTAAATAAGAACAAACCAACTATAAATAATAGCTTCAGGACTGGGATGATTTAAATAGATAAATAACTCACTGGCTTTTAGCATCACAGGGAACTGGCAGGAGTAAAAATGGAAACAAAAGCTTCAATTTTTCACCTTATTTTAATAAAATAAGGGAAGGAAGAATGTTTGTGAAAAGTCTGAACTTTGTTGCTGTTACTTCATATAGTAGTAAATTATGATCTATTATTTTTTAATTAATTCAATGAATCATTCATTATAAGATGGTAAAATCTCAGCTTCAGGATTGGGACCATATAGATTTTAAAAACTCCACTTACAAATCTACATGTACAAGTAATGCTTCTGTATCAGAAAAAAAGATTTTGTCCTGTTATTTTGAACATGCAGGCAGACTCTTTTACAAATGAAAATATTCACTCCCTGCCACCCCCTACCCCCATTTTATCATATTACAGCAACTGAGAAATAATGCTAGATTTATTTCCATATCATAAGATTGTTTCATTCAAGACAACGACAAATTTGCATACAGACAGGAGGTTGTACAACTTTCCTCATGATGTAACCGGAACAATCTGGAACTGAACACACTCAAAACTGTAGAAATGGTGGTAGACTTTAGGAGAAACCCTCCCATGCTACCACCTCTTACAATACTAGACAACACAGTGTCAACAGCAGAGACCTTCAAATTTCTAGGTTCTATCATATCACAAGACCTAAAATGGACACCTAACATCAAAAACATCATCAAAAAAGCACAACAAAGAATGTTCTTTCTGCGCCAACTTAGAAAGCTCAAACTGCCCAAGGAGCTGCTGAAACAGAGGAATTATTGAGTCTGTCATCTGCACCTCTATAACTGTCTGGATTGGTTCTGCAACTCAACAAGACAGAGACTTCAGAGAGTAATTAGAACTGCAGAAAAAACAATCACTATCAACCTGCCTTCAATTGAGGATCTGTATTACTGCATGAGTCAAAAAGAAGACTGTGAAAATATTTACATCCTAGACATAAACTGTTTCAACTCCTTCCCTCAAAACAACCCTATAGAGCACTGCACACCAGAACAACTAGTTTTTTTCCGAAAGCCATCACTCTGCTAAACAAATAATTCCCTCAACACTGTTCAACTATTTACAAAGTCTGCACTACTATTACTGTTAATCTTCTCATCACTCCTTATCACCCATCCCCTCCCACTTGTAACTGCATGACTGTAACTTTGTCGCTTGTATGCTTATGATTATCTTTGTATCCTTACCTTATGATTCTTGATGAATGTATTTTTTTTTAATGTATACCGAGAGCATTTGCACCAAGGCAAATTCATTGTGTGTCCAATCACACTTGGCCAATAAAGTATTCTATTCTATTCTGTTCTGTTCTGTTTTGTTCTGTTCTGTTCTATTCTAAAACAAATTGTATTACAAGTCTTCTGACAACCTAAACAACTAGATTCCAAGGATGGGGCTTACTTCACTATGCAGGGAGAGCTCTGTGTGTATATCATATTCTTCTATAGAATGTATGAAAAATCAAATCCTTAGATTACCTTTTGCACTAGTAATTGTTGAAACACTAGGCAGAATTGAACTTTTTTCCTCTGTGGGAATTTCTTCCTCTTCCTCACTGTCACCAAACTCTTGAGCATATAGTTCAGCTATATAAAAAAGTTAACATAATTAATGGGAAATACTTCTATTAAAGAAAGATTTCAGACAATTTCAGAAGATGTAATAAACACAATGGGCATTTAACAAATTACATTTGTTAATTGAGAAGTTATTCATAACCTGCATCTGCATAATAAGCTTGCCTTCCCTACCTCCATTTCACCTCGGTTTACATCTAGCCACTCTATGAGCCACTTGTAAAATCGTATGCCTTTTAAAAACATTTGTCAGCTGGAAAATGTGCTAGCAGGCACTTTTTAATTATTAGTATTTTGCTAGTTGGGATTACAGTTGTTGTAGCTGCCGAACACAAACAATAGAAAGGAAATGTTCACGATTTGGGAGTGATACAAACCCTATGAGGAAATGTCCCTGGTTTAATCAATTTATGAAATTTATGAAACTGCCACCCTAGCCTTGCAACATTGCTGCTCAATCTCTCCTCTAAAGGAAGATTAGTGAAGATCAGAGGTGGTATTCAGCCAGTTCTGACCAGTTCTGGAGAACTGATAGCGGAAATTATGAGTAGTTCAGAGAACTGATAAATACCACCTCTGACTGGCCCCACCTCATCCATTTGCTGCCTCCCAAGTCCCAGTTGATCAGCTGGGTCTTCTTTTGTTGCCCTGCACAGGGGAACAGAGCTGGAAAGCAGGTTAGTGGGGTGGGGAAGGAATGGGATCTTGCAGTATCCTTCCCCTGGAGTGAGGTGGGAAAGGAATATCCTTCCCCTGCCACGCCCACCAAGCCATACCCACAGAAATGGTAAAAAAAAAATTGAATCCCACTACTGGTGAAGATTATTTTTGGTTCCAACGGAAGACAATATAGAGAGAGCAGGGGTCCCCAACAGCTGGACCATGGCCCACTACCAGGCTGCGGCCCATTTAGAACTGGGCCACAGGACTTCCGGTTTAAGCTTCTTTGGCGACAGACTGAAATCTGCGATCATGTGCGGTTTCGATTTGTGCTCGCTGCCGGAGCGCCTTGAGCTGGCTGGATTCGGGACAAAAGCTACTCCATAAAGGTGGTGAAGAGGGGGGAGACCACCAGCAGGATCGTGGACAGCTGCATCTGTCCTCCTCAGCTGGCCATTACTCCCTTTCCCGAAGGCGGTTGCAGTGGTGGTCAGAAATGGCCACCTCAAAGAAGAACTTGACCGGAAAAGATTGTGCAGGAGGAAGATAAGAGAAAGTTTTGACTGACTGTGTTGAACTGAAAAAGCAACAACATAAGGTACCCTGAAATTTGAATTATAAAGAATAACTTGTTCCCAAAGATTTTTGAAGCGGTGAAGGAGAGAGGGAAGGGGAAAGATTTGGTCTTTTTTTCTTTCCTTCCCCATATTGACAGCTAAGAGATTTAAGCAAGAAACTGATAAAAATTGACGTTGACATTAATAGGCATTTAAGCTGAAAATAAAAGTCAAAGGGATAATAAAGATTTTTGGATATTTAAAAATTTAAAAGAAGAAAAGGAGAGAAAAGGAAAAAATAGAAGGGTGGGATCTGGAAAAATGGAGGAGACCACCTGGAAGAAAAAGGAATTAACAGTGAAACTTTAACAAGATTCCTAAAAGATATATTCCAACTGAAACTTGGTAACAAGATAAATAGAACCCCAGGAAGAGAAAGTGGAAAAAAGAAGTAAGAAGAAACAGATTTGGATTATTTGGATCATTTGGATGTTTTTGGATTTTTGGTTATTGGATTTAAATGACTAAAATCATCAGGTGGTTGTTTAAAAGTGTTTAAAATGACATCACTCTTGGAAGAACTGAAAATGGTACTTAAAGAACAGAAAGAAGATGGACAAGAAGGAAGAAGTTTTTTTGGCTTCTTATTTCAATTCTTAGAAATGGAGGTCTTGAACTATGAGAAACAACAAGAAATGCTTCCAGAACAAGAAAGGCGGGACAAAGAAGAAGCCATTTTTAATGGCCAATAATTCTATGTGGGGGAAAAAAAGGAAAGGCAGGAAAGAGAGTGAAAAATTTAAGATCTGAAAAAACAACCAAACAACTAATTACAATATTAGAAAGAAACAGAAGAGATGATAATGTAATGGAATGTTTGTTAACAAATAAATGAAATAAAGATAATGAGAGAATAAAATTAGGAAAGGATGGGAACATTCTAATTGTTATCAATGATTTATAAAAATTTAAGTGAAGAGAAATATGAAAAAAATATGGAAATATTATAAATGTTCCTAAGGAAGTATGATATTTAATTGAAAATAAATGTTAAAGAGGTTAATTAATGTTAATGGAAGATTGTGATTAACATTAATGGTTGAGCTGAATTGGAATAGAATAAATGTTTTTTTATGTACTATTGTTATATACATTTTTTTTAGGAACTTAGTGCGCATTTTAAGAATGTACCAAGCAGAATTCGATTGGCAAAAGTTATGTGTTATAAAATAAAGGTTAGATATTGAATGTTATAATTGCAAAGGCATAAATTGAAATAAGATTTGAATGGACAAAAATCAAAAGATACAAAGGTGTCATACTCCAATCAGTAACTACAGGGGAAAACTTGTTTAATGAGAAAAGAAAATATGAAATTGAAACAGGACAGACAAAAATATAAATATGATTTGAAAAATATTGAATCTTAGAGAAAGATATATAATTGAATTTAGAAAGGAATGAGATAATTAAAAACAAGGTTGAGAAAACTAAGGGAAGGGAAAAATCACTGAGAAAATGCTAAAATAGTAATAAGATATGGAATAGAATACAAAGATGAATATTAAATTGAGTGTCTGTATAGAGAAGTGATAACCCCGGATCATGCTATTCTCAAAAAAAGATATTTTATTTGTATTATGTTTTGTGCAAACCCAATAAAAAATTTTACAAAAAAAAAAAAGAACTGGGTCACAGAAGTGGCAGGCGAGCACCTGCATGCAGCTTTATTTGTGTGTGCAGCAGGCAAACATATGCATGCAGTTTCATTTGTGCAAGTGACGGATGCGTTTGCCTGCTGCTCATGTAAATGGAGCTGTGCACACATGCGCTCACCCACCACTCATGCGAAACCCTCCCCCTCCCCCTATTTGCCACTGGATTCAAACATGTTCTAATAGAGTGAAAAATGTTGGCAGAAAAACTGAGCTAGAAGCTATTTGGCAATAAAAACGTATGGCTGGTTGATTGGTTGGTTGGTTGGATGGATGGATTTTTATACAGCCAAGCTCCAGAGAAACTCCTGGTAGTCTGTATATAAAATGATAAATAAGATTTAAATATAAAACCAGAATAAATAACCAACTCAAAAATAATATTCAATAAATACTTTTCACTGAAATAACATACTGTATTAATACTGATAGAATAATGGGTGGTCTCTGTGGTTGATAATAATATATTGAAAGATTGAGTTTTACATCAGTATTTTATGGATATCTCTTTTTAAAATGACAATAAGTACTATATTTTGCATGTTTGTTTTGATAAATTTAGAAAATGTTATAATTTTGGTTGTACTTCCTCATCTCTTCTTTATTTTACTTTACCAAGAAAATGTTTAAATGTTAAAAAAACAACATCCCAATGGAGATGAGCAAAAAATGACCTCATCCTTCTCATTTTAAATAGCAATTCACTGCTTGCAGTCAATCACTCCAATGCTCATTCTTTCATTCAGCAAGTCCTTGCAGAAACGTTCTTACATAATTTCTGAATCAAAACAACGATATCTGAACAACTTAGCTTTGACATGGAACCATCTCACCTTGTTCCTTCAGTTGCTGCTCTATTTCCATTTTCTCTTTCACTCTGGCAATGCCTACTAGGATTGCTTCAGCTCGGGTCTGCTCAATGAGTTCTATCCTTGCTTGTTCATAATGCATTTTCAGAAGAGCATCCATGTCAAGAACCTACAGAAAACCATTGAATATGGCCTCTTAGAGAGGAAGGGGCAGATACACTATAAGTTTGTCCTGTTCCCCCCCGCCCCCAATACAAAGTAGGAACCTCAACAGCCCTAACCCTAATACTGACGCTCTGCCTTCCATGTTTCATTTCCCAAATTTTATAGTGAAAATGAATATTTCATTAAAAAAACAACAATCTTGTTATATTTGAATATGAAAACACCATAGAATGTCATTTTTTAAACTGTACACTGAATTTTGTGTGCGCAAATGCCCAGAGTCTCCTTGTAGGGGAGATGGGTGGTATAAAAATTTAATAAACAAATAGTATGAAAGCAGATACCCATATAAATGTCCTCGACCACAGAGAAGAGTTGATATAGAAACCTAATAAATAGATAAATAAATGCAAAGTTTTCTAAAACCTTTCCCCCCTATTGCTTTTGCCACTTTTAAAGCAAGAAACTTTGAACAGCCATTTATAGGGCTCAACAGAATCAGGTGACAAAGAAATCCAAGGAAAATTTACTTGGCCTTTAATAATTGGTGTCACAGAATAAATGATTACGAATACAATTCCCAGTTTCAGTGATATGTATATTCTTTGTGGTTGTCAGCCTTCAAGATCTTCTACTATTGTTTTGCATCTTTTGGCTGCCATTAGTAACAGGGGGAGGAGGGGGTAAAGTCTGGGAAGCGAGCTGGAGGTGTTACATTCTAGTGTTGTATAAAATGAGGAGGCGGGGAGTATAAATTCTTGCTTAGGTTTCTATTTTTCGCTTAGCTTTCTTTTCTCTGTGCAGCTGCAACCCTTTATCAAAATATGCCAAGGTCAATGGACAGAGGCCTCATCACCACCTGAAGATGTCCACATGATCATATTCACAACTTTTAATTGGAAGAATAATTTGAACTATTGGGGGTGGGAACACTTCCATCACTTTGTATATGTGATTTGCGTGCCTAATTCCTCAGATTCAGAATTCTATTGTTGCTACCACTTCATTTTCAGTAAAAGATATCTTTTCTCTAATTAAAGGAGTCTAAGTATTTCTTTCGTGAATTTTGAATGGAGCACTACCTGACAGTGGTTCTATACCAAGCTCTTGGTTGTGAAAGGCATTGTGCTTAAGATATTCTATAAACAGGCACTTTAAGATTTTGATTCTAAAGTGAATTTATACCCACCTTTCCCTGATAATGGTTTGCAAGCAACTCACACAGGGTTGTTTTCCCAGAGAATGGAGGGCCCATTACCAGTACTTTACAAGGTGGAAGTGGCATAGGAGGCAGCAGGTAGGAACGGGGATTCAGCATGAATTGTTTCAAAGCTTCTTCTGTAGAAAGCAGGTACATCTTACCTAAGAAGCTGCAAAGAAAGCAAAAATACAGAACTACAGCTTTAGAAAAATGGATTTTGTATTAAGGGGTAATAAAGTTCTACTTACCTAACAGCATTGTCTGCGGTTCCCATGATAATGTCACCATCTTTTAAAGCCACAGGACATGCTCGGCCCCACTTACTGCGACGCCATCGATGTCTAGGTCCTACAAGTTTATAAGACGCAAGTATCCGAAAAAGTTCATCCTGAGGGCCAAAATAAAGAAAACAACTGAAGCCCTTGGAAAATATATTGTAAAGGAAAGTGACGGGTATTTTTTTACCATCACATATTTTCAAACATTTTGTCACTAATTCTAACCATGCTGCTGAAGGTTAAAATAATTATTTGTTATATGAATGCCACTGAGTGATAGCAATAGCACTTAGACTTATATACTGCCTCACAGCGCTTTTACATCCTTCTCTAAGTGGTTTATAGAATCAGCATATTGCCCCCAACAATCTGGGCCTTCATTTTACCGACCTTGGAAGGATGGAAGACTGAGTCAACCTTGAGCTGGTCAGAATCGAATTGCCAAAATGTAGGCAGCTGGCAGTCAGAAGTAGCCTGCAGTACTGCACTGTAACCACTGCACCATCACGGCTCAGTGATGATAAAAAAAGGTTTACACATAAGCTCTTATCAGAAGATATCATTATATTTTTGGGATTTTTCTTAAAAATGAAATGTAGAAATATTTTATTTATATAGTCAGTTTGGTCTAGTGGTTAAGGCATTGGCCCAGAAACTGGGAGACCATGACTCCTAGTCCTGCCTTAGAAATGAAAGCCAGCTAGGTTACTGGTCCAGTCTCTCAGCCCAACCCATCTCATCGGATTACTCTTGTGGGGAAAATATGAGGAGAAAGTATTAGACACGTTCACTGCCAGATTTTTAAAAATGATAAAGGCAGGTTAAATGATATAAAAACAAATAGCACATAATAAACAATAACAATAAAGCAGGGGTGTCAAACTCAAGGCCCGTGGGCTGGATCTGGCCCGCAGGGTGCTTAAATCTGGCCCCTGGGGCCGGCCTGGAAATAGTAAAGGACTGGCCTGCGGAGCCTCTGGCATCCAAAATGGAGTGCAGGGGGCTGCACACAACCCCCTGCGCCCTGTTTTGCAGTTGGATGGCCTCCTGCAAGGCTCTGCTGGCCAAAATGGGGCATTCGGCTTGTCATCTGTATCTAAGGCATTTTTTGAAGGTGTGTCATATGCTTTAATCTGCTTTGAGTAAGAAACATCTATTATCAGCATTTATAGCAACACTCTCTTTAATATGTGCTATTTCTACTGGCAACCAATAGGAAAACATGTAAATATCACACTTACGTTTTCCAGACCATCTAACATTTCTTCGTCTGCACTCTGAAGCTTGGTTATGAGAGCTCCATACCGTTGGCCCATGGATTCAAGGCGGGTTATTACTGACTGAGCAAAACCACATAACAGTTCGTGCATAAAATATCTTTAGGTAATATTGGTATTTGGATTTGAAATATAAAACCAATTTGAAAGACTACTTCAGTACATTTTTTAAAATAAACAACTTGATCAATAAAAGATAGCAGGTGGGAAGCATAGTTCTCTGCAATTTCTAAAAAGGTTTTTAATATTGATACATTAATATCATAATAATATTAGTATTATCTATATATTGAACTGTCTTGTACATATAGGATAGAGACAAAAAACTCATTGCCAAGTTGTAGAAACCCTGTTGCCTTAAAGGAGGCAGGGTTGAAACTGGAATAGGGTATAATTGACATTGAAAATAAGTGTGTGTTCCTTACTTACTTTAAAAAGTTCATCTGCATTCTTGTTTCCATCGAGTTCAAAAAGATACTGAGAGTCTTGCTCAGCCATTAATTCCTGAAATTTTAAAACAGAAATATGACTGAATATATAGATAGGATTTGATTTGGATCCCATGGCCTCAAATGGTTGCACTGACAGGTCTGAGGAAAAAAACCCATGCAGTTATTTTTTGACATACTTTTTTCTAAATATCTAATATTATTGTAACTACAATATTTATTTGGCAAGAAATGTGCGGACAAACACATCACTCGTAAGTACAATTGAACTTAATGCAATCCAGAGGCCAGAATTGCATAAGTTCAATTGTACTTATGAGTGAACACAGTTTAGAATTTGACAAAGAAGAGATGTTGGGCTGGCAGAGGAGCCATATTCTACTTTATCCTCATTGTCCATATTATATTCCTTGACTGAGGACAATATCGAATTTACATATCCATTCAACAACCAGTCCGTGTGGCAAGGAAGACCGCTTTAGAACCAAATGCAATGGCTTGGCAAGCAACAGCTCTACAGTATGGCTGCAAACACAAACCTCCAGTACAGAACCCCATTCATGCGTTCCTATTTTTTGATAAACGTACATGGACATATGAGGAAAAAAGGAGATTCCTTCCCACATTTATAAAAGAGAGTCAAGGCATTTTAGAATATAATTGATTTTTAAAATATTTTATATTTTGGTTCCCGTAGTACTAATTCTACAGCTTGGATGAAACCATGATTACTTTTGTGCCCCTTTTTGATTTTAGATGCTTTAAATAAGGAATCTTGTCCCTTATATAGTAGAATCAGAGGGAAAAAGCTCTTTTTTTAAATATAGTAGTAATTTCACTGAAAGTCAAGATTACAAAAATAAAAACCTAATATAAAATAATAATTAAAAAAGGAATAAGAAAAATGGAAAGTGTAGGGTAGAAAACACAATATGTGGAATAGCTATTTGGGCTGTATGTCACATTTTATGGTTTAGTATGGTCCTCTACCCTTGTCCCAACTTTGCAGTTTCAAACATTCCTCTAATCAAGATTGAAAAAAAAATCTGTAATGTTGTTTCCTGCTACTTTGAGGAAACCACACTTTAATCTTCCCCAAAGAGTTAATATTGTTTTAATTTTTTTTAAAAAATGGCATTCTTTCCCAGATCCACATCCATAATACAGTCCTATGCACTCTGCAGTACTATCTCACCCAGGTTCTCCAAAAATATTAAGTTGGGCCACAATCACCAAGAGTCACTTTGGATAGTGAGGTGGGCAGTATATAATTTTCATAAATAAATAAACTTTATGCTTAAAATTTACCTTATAAATCCAGCCAACTGTGATTTATTCAATGAACTATTATTAATCAAACCATGTGTTGCCATAATATGTAAAGTAGGCCTTGAAAGTTCATGAATTATAATAATAAGTTTAGTACAATGTGCTAAAGATGAGCATTTGTGCATGGATTCATGATATAGTTATCTAAGCTTACCAGCAATAATAAAAGTTACAACATTGATAGCTGGTATTTTTTATTTCCTTCTTTTCTTACTTCTAGATGTTATGGCACAGAAGTGCAAAAGATATCCTTATCTTACCTCTAGAGGACGCAGCAGAGTATCTTTATAGAGATCAATTCTCTTTTGTGCATTTTCCTTAAAATCTTCTGGCCTTTGCACTAAAGTTGGCAAAATTTCTGTCAACATAATTTGATCAGCCTAGGTGAAATGAAAAAAACACCCCTTTTAAAAATAAATACATACAGAAAAAATTAATTAGTTGAAAACAATTTTCAATTATTTAAAATAAAATTGTGGCTGGCTTAGTTACAGGCTAAAATGAACCTTTAATAAAACTTCATTCCTGAACAAATATGCAATTCCAGTTACTAAAATTGAAGTGATTTTGTAAGTTTTTTTAAAAAAATATTTTCCTGTTGAGGAATTCTGCAATAGATTAGATAGATAAATAAATAGATAGATAGATTATATAGATGGATGGATGGATGATGGGAGAGAGGGAGAGAGAAAGAGAAAGGGGGAGAGGTCATAAAACTTATCCTGCATCACCTAAACAAGGCTGCTACTTCTGAAGGATGCTATTTCCAATGCTAAAATAGAACTATGCTAGTCAAAGACAATTTTATACTTGGAATGGGAGGAGATCCCAGCCAGTTCTTTGCTTCAGCAGGCCAGCCAAATGCCTTAGGTCTGGGTCTTTAAAGTAACTCTATAAAGTTCAAATCATCTTATTAAATGGATAAATATAAAGGGTTAGTAATACTGCTAATTAAAGACATATAGCTTTAATATGACTACAAATGACAATGGATTTTCCCCCCTCAAAATGCAGCATGTAGAATTAGGGTATTACGTATAACCAGGGGTGGGATTCAACTTTTGTAACAACCGGTTCTGTGGGTGTGGTTCTGTGGGCGTGGTTAGGTGGGTGTGGTCATGTGACTGGGTCGGTGTGGCTTTTTTTTGCACCCCCACTCCCGTTTTTTTGGCCTTCTGGGCCTCAGGGAAGCCTCCTGGGGGAGCTTTTTTGCTTCCAGGCTTCCCTGGGGCTCAGGAAGGAAAAAATATGCAGAAAGGGGGCATACAGCACCCCATGCTCCATTTTGGGGCCTTCTGGGCCCCAGGGAAGCCTCCTGAGGGGTCCTTTTTGCTCCCAGGAAGCTTCCCTGGGGCCCAGGAAGGCAAAAAATGGAGGGGGGGATGCTGCACCCCTTCTCCATTTTTTGCCTTTCTGGGCCTCAGGGAAGTCTCCTGGGTGAAGCAGTAAGTAAGCAAGGGGAATCCTGTCACAGCTGATAATAGGAACAGCTGATTGTCAGGAGGGGGCAAAAAAGAAATATCATAAGGAGTGATTGGGCAGGGAAGAACACAGTCAGCTATGTCAGGCATGCGCGAAATGTTGCCTATGCGCGATAAGGACTGACTGGGCGGGGAGGGGAAGGAAGGGGCAGGCAGAGAGAGGCGGGGCCAGCCAGGGGCACGATTTACTGGTTCTCTGAACTCCACAGAATCATAACCGTTCTATAGAATTGGTCCGAACCAGTAGAATCCCACCTCTGTGTATAACTGTTGTACAACTTAATTTGATTAACTTTATTAAAGAAGAATTTTAACAAATATTAAACAAAGTGTTGAGAATGATCCAAGATTTTATTTTATTTGAAACAAATAATTGGTTTTTTAGAAAATATGGGAAAACTACTTCGTTTGACTCATCTTCCTCTTCTTCCTCTTCTGCTTCCTCATCCTCTTCTTCACCTTTACGGAATTCTTTCTTCTTTTTCTTACGCTTTTCAATAATATCAGGATCCCAATCTTCTCTTTTAAATATATGTCCTGTGTCAGGCTGTTGTCTTTGACCAGTGATTCTTTGGCACAAGTCATTGTTAGGACACTAGTTAGAACATGGGGAAAACAGATCATTGTTTTCAAATCCAATAACATAACTTTGTAGCTCTTCTTTCTGAGATCTTAAAATGAAAACTTTTATTGCTAATGTGGAGGTGCAGTTTCTTTTCAAACTAATAAAAGGCAGTTGGCAACTTCTACTTTTATGACAATGGGTTTAAAGGAGACAAGGATGGCTTTACAAAGCATAATTTGTAAGGGTATGAAGCACAGTTATAAAATAAACACAAGATTTACTAAGAACTTTCAAACGCTGATTACCTTAATATTAATCAGGAAATCTGGTTTTAATTTTAAATTTTTAATCACATCTATTTGTTCTGGGGTAGACATGAAATCCTCAGAAAGAGAAGGGAAATCACAGAGAACATAACCTGCAAGGGGGCGGGGAAAATGCAAATATGATTATACAGTACTTACAGAACCCACACTTAACATTTATTTTATAGTAATTATGGGATGACTATGGGTCTTTCTTCATTTGTATCTAACCACTGTACAACCAATTCCTGGAAACATTTTATACTGCTGTGTCCAACCAACAAATAGCTTTATGGATGAAAACAGTGTTTTCCCCTTAGATCAAAATAACAGAATAACAAAGCTGGAGGGACCAAGGAAGTCTTTTAGATCAACCAGCAGCAGTTCCAAGGTGTGTCAAATCTGATGTACAGTATTTCAATGCCTATGCTATTGGAAGTCCATCTGATAAACTGGGATAGTAGAATCAGCCTGCACCTACTGGCCCCTTGAATGAACGTACACTCTCCCCTCTGATCTCCATATGTGCTTTGCTACACTTTTTCTTATTTTCTTTCCTAAAGGGAGAGGTATGGAGAGATGCCCAATTTTGAAAGAGCAACAGTTTCCTGTAAACCGGATAAGCTACACTTTTTTTCTACAACTTTTAAAAACCTCCACTTTCTTCTCTAATCTCATTTTTACCAGGGTGTTTTCTTTTGTGTAATGCCGATGCTCAAAGTTAGCAAATACCATAGCTAACACCATATACCCTATATAACCCTCACTGCCTTACAGAGCCACCCAGAGTTGTCTGGGAATTGGGTGGTCTCTAAATCCCTCTTTTTCCCCCTATTCAATCATTTGCAATTCTCCGAGACTGCCTGCTATTTACTTGGCAAGGTTTTTCAGAAGTGGTTTGCCATTTCCTCCTTCCTAGAGTTGAGAGAAAGTGACTGGCCCAAGGTAACTCAGCAGGCTTCATGCCTAAGGCAGGACTAGGACTTTCCTAGATTCTAGCCTGATGGCTAGATTGGCTCTTTTTATTTCTTCTGTTAAAATTTGTTGAAATTCTTGGAGACTGCCTGAATAAGTCCATAAAGTTGTCTTGGCAAGATATTTCAGAAGTGGCTAGCAATTACCTCCTTTCCAGGATGGATAGAAAGTAACTGGCCCAAGGTCATTCCAGATGACTTTGTGCCTAAGGCAGTATCAGAATTCACAGTTTCCTGGTTTCTAGCCTAATGCCTTAGCCACTATACTAAATTGGCTTTCTAAATCCCATACAATCCACGGAACAGATAGGAAAATAAATAAATCAGAGGTATATATTTCTAGGATTATGATGAGCTTACTTAATAGATAGTGGAAAAAAGAAGATGCAGCAATTCATACCAAAGTGATTAATCTCTGGTGAGTCCAGCTTGATCATAAGCATCTTTATCACCAACTCTTCAGGAACATTTTGACCTTGGTAAAGCAGGTCCTTACACTTAAGGAGAACAATGTAAAATATTGAATTGCATTGAGAATATATAATAGGGGATATATAATTAGCATACAAAGCTACCTTATACTGTATCAAAAAATTTATTCAGGTGCTCTCCATATTGCTTCTTTTATATTTTGGACTACAACTCCCACAAATCTTTTCTTCTCTCTCTCCCTCTCTCTCTCTCCCTCCCTCCCCCTCCCTCTCCACCTCTCCCTCCCACTCTCTCTCCTCCCCACTCCCTCCCTCCCTCTGTCTCCTTTCTATTTTCTTTTATAGCATCACCTTAAAGATACCGAATACATTCTTTTACAGTCTTTTACTGTATATTATCTGCTACATTGTCTTATACTGAAGACACCCCAAAATGAACCTGTATACAAAATATGTGGTCTGCCAGTAAACTTGGTACATTGCCCGTATTTCAAATCCAATCAAATTGCAATAATTCAAAGCTGTGAGCTGAACTGGGCTTTATAAATTATAAATTTACTAAAGAATAAAATATAAAACTATACCTCAAAATCCAGGTAAATAAATAAGTACAGGCTTTACCTTCAGTCCATATTCTGTTTCGGCTGTTACATTTTCATTTATAAGTTCAAAAGCTAAAAGAATATATCACATAGAAAAAAAATTAAAAAAAAGTTCAGATGGTGCTGTGTGCATGTAAATATGCAGTACTGTATAATGCAAAACAGAATTCTGATAACTTTAAATGGCAATTCAAAACAACATTTTTAACATTGAAGCTCATACATTCCTTTTCCATAAAAATCCATCTCCATCTTCTTGTTCTGCAAGCGTTTCTTGTTGTTTCTCATAGTTCCAGATCTCCATTTCTAGGAATTCAAATACGAAGCCAAAAGAACCTCTCCCTTCTTGTGCATCTTCTTTCTGTTTTTTAAGTTCCATTTTCAGTTCTTCTAGAAGTGATGCCATTTTAAACACTTTTAAACAACCACCCAATTGATTTTAGTCATTTAAATGCAATAGCCAAAAATCCAAAAATCACCAAGTAATCCAAATTATCCAAAGCTGTTTCTTCTTGCTTCTTTTTTTACTTTCTCTTCCTGGGCTTGTTTTTATTTTGTTACCAAGTTTCAGTTGGAATGTATCTTTTAGGAATCTTGTTAAAGTTTCACTGTAAATTCCTTTTAGTTCCAGGCAGTCTCCTCCATTTTTCCAGATCCTGCCCTTTTTATTCTTTTCTCTCCTTTCCTGCTTTTAAAAGTTTTTAAGTATCCAAAATCCTTTATTATCCCTTTGACATTTTATTTTCAGGTTAAATGCCTATTAATGTCAAAGCGGATTTTTATCAATTTCTTATTTAAGTCTCTTAGTTGTCAGTATAAGGAAGGAAGGAGAAAAAAAAACCCAAATCCTTTCCCTTTCCTCTCTCCTTCGCCGCTTCAAAATCTTCTTTGGGAACAATGTTATTTTTACAGTTTAAATTTCAGGGTACCGTATGTTGTTGCTTTTTCAGTTCAACACAGTCAGTCAAAACTTTCTCTTATCTTCCTCCTACACAATCTTTTCTGGTCGAGTTCTTCTTTGAGGTGGCCATTTCTGAACACCGCTGCAATCGCCTTCGGGAAAGGGAGTAATGGCCAGTTGGGGAGGAGAGATGTGGCTCTCCTCGACTCTGGTGACGGTCTCCCCCGTCTTCACCACCTCTACGGGGTGGCTTAGCCCTGAAACCAGCTGGCTTGGGGCGCTCAGGCGGTGAGCACGGATCGAAACCGTGCACAATCACGGATTTTGGTCCATCGCTGAAGAAGCTCAAACCGGAAGTCCCAAAAAGTCTGAATTTTTATCATGTCACTATGGGGATGCTGCAATGGTCTTAAGTGTGAAAAATGATCATGTCACTTTTTTCAGTGCCATTGTAACTTCAAATAGTCACTAAATAAATTGTTGTAATTTGAGAACTACCTGTACAATAGCTGCATTGTATCTTCCAATTATAATTTGACCAGAGTCCAAATATGATCAAAGTATTCTAAAACAATATTAAATATTTTCCATTTCTTTCTTTTAAACTATTACAGATTTAGAGAAGAATGAATCAATATATTTTTCTTTAAAGCCAATTTTAGATTTCCAAAGTACTTATCATGGACTGATAATTATCATAATCATTAAAACTCCTATTTAAATAGAAAAGTCTAATTATAGTTCTGTGCACTTCATAATCTAGAAGTTGACCATGATCGCCACAAAATAAAAGACACTTTTAGCCACCAGAGGGCTCCCACGTTCCAATTGTTGCCTGCTCTAATTTTACAGTAACAGATAACAAAAGCAGGCTCATATAAACAATTTCCCTTTCAGAACTTAAATAAAATTATATTGCAATTTTAAAAATTCAGAAATTTTAGTCTTGCCGCAGGATTCTTTGCAAATCACTGTAATTATGTTCTAATGATAGCACTTCAAAGAAATGATGCTTCTGGGAACAAACTGGAAAATCAGGTACATGCTGCCTCATAGTTTTAGGTTTTTACTCAGAAACCTGCTGATGCCAAATTAATTCTAAAGGAACAAGCCGGAATCCAATCATTAGCTTGCTGTGCCACATTCTTTATTCACTCTTACAAATTTAATGTAAAAACTACGGCTCCCAAAGGTAAGGTAGTCTCTCTGGGGGGCCAGAATATCCCCGAGGAGAACTTAATTTAAAAACCAACAATAGATTTCTAAAAGCTGTACCTGATGGAAAATATATATTTCCCTCTAATCGCTTCAGTTATTCCATACTCCCTAGGTAAATTAATCATGGCAAGGGCAATTTAAGTGGAATGGGAAAGGCTGGACTCAAGCATGTTTTAGTCATAAATTGCTGGTAAAATATCTTGAAGAAAATCTGCAAAATATTACTGAAATTGAGGCAGCTAAAGAGAAATTTTCTGTAAGATTGAAAGGCATATCCTCCATAAGATTAAGGGAATGCTTATGTTGCACAAATATACAGAAGGTGGGGCTTCAATAGCATAGCCATGCCCACCATATGGACTTTAAAAAAACAAAACTCTGATCCAACTCTTTGATTTTTCATACAACGAAGAAGATTTATGCCTAGTCCAGAGATTAGCAGAAGCAATTTATTAATCCCTTAACAAAAAAATTACATATCATTACAATATTTTTTCCTTTTCTATTCTCACGAAAGTGACCATTACTGACTTTGTCAGGGCTCATTTCAAAAATGTATATAGCAACTGGTGGTCTTATATTTGTATCTGTTATATTTGTATGACCATAATGGAATGGGAGACAACATTGGAATATGGAAAGTAGGAGACAGGTTAAATCACACGAAAATCATAGATAGAATACTATAATTTTTTAATTTAGAGATTGACGGTACCAATATTAACTTTATAGAATAGGGTTGTTTTTTTGTTGTTGTTTTAAGTAACACTCTAACTATATCACACTATTACACACTTTATGTGTAATATAGATATTGTCTATATTGCCACTGATACTACCTATAAATGAGCTGAAAAAAGTTAGCTTTAATATCAGTATATTTAAAAGAAGTTTTTCTAAGAGGGGTGGATGGAGAATATCTTATTTCACCATCAGAAATCAAATTCCAAAGCATTAGATTCATTTCCCCATTTTTTGCACCTCATTTTTATAGAAATATAGTAATACTCCCAGTGGTATCTGCTAAAAGTTAAAAATCTCTCCAACAGAAGAAGAATATACACTGTCAAACTCTTCTGAATTTATATGTTAGTTCATAAAAAGGTTGCAGCCTTTTTTAATGAAATAGGTCTCTGGAATGTTAGAAATTATACAAACATGCATAGAATGACATATAGTAAAATGAATATAGTTTTTATATTTACCATCTACAAGAGTGCATTTCCAAAACTGGGCTATTTTTTTAGCTAATGTTTTCTTCCCAACACCCTTAAAATGAGAAAAACAAAAAGAAAAGGATTATTAAAACTAGAATGAAGTACTTCAAATGTAATAAATTAGAATGAAACAATGATAACTGAAATATTTGTTATAATAAGGAGTGACTAGAATTTCCATACACATTATTGAAAGTCAGAAATCCTTTATATGGCTCTAATAGTGTATGCAATGTTGAGGTAATTCCCCATTAGGAGAATGAGCGCATACAGGGAGAGGTATTTGAGAGAAGTGCTTGAATAATACACACACAGCACACAGATACACTGTACGGTAAATGTAGGTTTTTACTTCCAGAAACGTTAAGCAAAGTCCAAACAAGCAATCCAAAGTCATTCACAGGTAAATCGATCAGTTTTCAATCCAGGGATAATCCAATAACAAATTCCAGTATCAAAAACAGTTCAGTATCAGACTTACATCAAATCCATGAATACCAGTCAATTATGAGGAACACAGCAATACTTTCCAACAGAAGGAAACAGAGATACTCACTCAGACACACTCTCTTCTGAGACTAAGACAACCCAGGTTTCTGGCTCCATCTTATGGCCATTTGAGAAACCACACCTAATTACAGTTTTGCATTTTCTTAAAGATACAGTTTTAAAATGTTTATCCTGGGGTTTATATATTTCTAACCCAAATACCTGTTAGGTGACATATTCCTAACATGCAATATATACTGTTCCAATTTTTTATTGAAAAATGGACTCCTTCTTGTCCTTGCTACCTTTCAAAGCAAAGATATATTTGACACTTCTAAGTAATTAGCTCTGGTAGTTAAATCAATGTGATTCTATGTTCTGTGCTATGTATCTGTTGTAAGATTTCATGTTAGGGATAAAAAGAAGCAAAGAAAACTTGGGCTAATATCATGCATTTGCTTGCTTCTAGTAAATATATAATATTACTTAATATATTAGCAAACCATTCCATTTTACAAAGCAAAATTGATAGTGCTACATTAGGAGCTTGGTCCCATTGCTGAATTTTTTAAATTAATCAATTAATCATATTCATAAAGTGCTAAATTCTGAGGATTTGGAGCAGCTTATTGCATAACATACACAAGCAACAACATACAATAAACAATAAGTATTAAGTTCCAGAAACTAATGAAAACATGAAATAAATAAAACTATAAAATAAAATATATAAAAATAAAACTATAATTAAAACAAGTTGGAATCAAGGCCTACATACCTTCCAGAAGAGCACTATCTAAAATAAAAGTGCTTTTCCAAAAGGCAAATAGACTTATATGGATTTTTCCCAGAGGTGGGATACAAGGTTAACTACCAGTTCAGGATTTACGAGCTTCCCTGCACGCTAGAGCTGTGCGCCTGTAAATCGTCATCAGCATGCTGCGTGCAGAGAAGCAGCCTTTGAAACAGCCCTCTTTTCCTGCTTTTTAAACTGCAGTTGTGCCTCGTTTGGCAGCTGAAGTTGAAAAATCAGGAAAAAAAGGTCAGGTAAGAGTCCAGGTGGGCAAAAACATCAGCAGACATAGAACTGGTTCTATGTCTGCTGCTCTTCAGAGCTACTGGTTCTACAGAGGTGGACAGAACCGGTAGAAACACACCCCTGTTTTTTCCCCCTTGAAAATGTTTTGCTCCTCATCTAAGAATCTTCTTCAGTTCTGAGATCAGAAACATTTTTAAAGGAAAAAAACCCAAGAAAGTTCATTTGCCTTTTGGATAAGTACCTTTGGGATAACAATTATCTGGATGGCTGAGAATCTTCATAGACATCTGTTTAAAACAATTTCCAGAAGGCAGCCAGTATGGGAACCAACCAGAAGTCCATTAAGAGGCTGCAGTAAAGGACCAATCCTGCCACTGAAAAAGCAGCACTTCCAAATTTTGCCCTCCTCACCCCTAAAGTGGAACACTACTTGTAGTTTCTCTTGGGTAATTGCACTGGACAGGTCAATTCCAGATGGAGAATGCAGTTTGCAATTAAGATGTGCTAAGCTGTGTAGGACTTTTAGATTAACACCAACATTTTAAATTGCACCTAGAAGCCTGCACTGTGATCTTCAAAGGCAACCCCGTATAGAATCTGTTGCAATAGTCTAAACATCATGGTGATGATGACATGAATCACTACAGGAAGATCTTCCCAGTCCAACTTGTACAACAGCCAGAGCTAGGAACTCCCATTAGCTGTAACACCTCTCTTTCTCTTCATGGGCATGCTCTTTCAGGGATAGTACAGTACTATCCTATAAAGACAGAACACTAAAACAGACAGCAAACCCAATGGTAAAACAGTAATTCCTTCTTCCTACGACCCAGTTTAAGCCTTTTCTGCTCCCTCTAGACTCTTAAGGCACCTCAATGGCATCATCAGTCTGATTTGGGGTAGTGGTATAAATCATGAGTCTCATCAGTACATTGATGATATAAAACTTGAAATTTTCTGATGAACTTTCCCAGTAGCAAGAAATGGTAAAGAGGAAATTTAAATGTAAATGTTAAATAACAATAGCACTTTTAGACTTATATACTGCTTCATAGTACTTTACAGTCCTCTCTAAGCGGTTTACAGAGTCACCAGATTGTCCCCAACAATCAGGGCCCTCATTTTACCGACCCCGGAAGGATGGAAGGCTGAGTCAAACTTGAGCCAGTCAGGAGGGAGGATAAATAAGATAAATAAATCGGAGAGAGATAAAACTTATACTGGCATTACTCAATAATTATTTTCCTAATTCTGTACTTAAGGAACAGTTTAATGGTTACTCAACAGTGTGACATGTTGAAACACGACTTTCATCATTCTCAGCCAGCATAACAATACTGATCATAGCTGAAAGAATTCCAATATACTTGGAACATTAAATAATACTAAATTAATATTCAGATGCTAAATTAATGTAAGTATATGAAAGACATGAACTGATTTACTCTGGGAATACCCCTCAGAGGTGTTATTGGGATCAATATAAAGTAGAACAGAGTTGTATAGATGCAACTAAATTCTCCTGCCATCATGGTAAGCAACTTTTAATCATACAAATGAGTATTTCAAGAGTCTAATCAAATAAATTCAGAAACATTAACAGTGTATATAAATTTTGGCTTGCTAAATTAGATCCACTGCAATTATCAGTCAGATAATTGTAACTCCATGCAGCAGCATCTCAAATGCATGACAGAAATAAATCCACAGAAATCAATACAATTTGTTTTCTAATGCAAAGTCAAGGAGGGTGCATGGTCAGGCACATGAGTTTAGTTAGACAGAAGCCAACTCATAAGATATATTGCAAAATAAGATTGTGACACTCAGCATTGTGGAATGAAAACGACAGATTTTATGAGCCTCTATATAATGATTCCCTATAGCTACTATACTTTGTGATATAGCAGAACAGTCATTCATCCGCCTGCCTGCAACAGACAGCAATAAAATAGAATAAGTACAATACAATACAGTAAAAAGCAACTGAGGCAGTGAGCAAAATACTCCCATAATGCATCATGAAAAATACCTACTGATCTCAGATAACATTGTAGCCTCAATGCCTGACAGAAAAGATTTTCAAAACTTTCTGAGAGACTTTCAAATTCAGGGCCATCTGAATGTTAGCGGAGGGGGAAGGGAAGGCACTTTGACAGAAAAGGTATGCTTTCTGGGACCAACTAATTGACAGAGCTTAACAGATCCAGAGCAGATCCATTTTGTCTGATTTGGTGAGAAGAAACCATCAGAAACAGTTAGTCCCATAATAACCTGACCTCATGCCATGCATGGGTTATAACCAGACTTGGAAGCTATTGAAAACAATGTCCCTCATGAAACAGTGATACCTTGGTATGCTATGGGATATGTCCAAAACTACATGTTCTGCTGCATTCTGGATCAGTTACAGCCTCTGACTGCTTTTCAAAGGAAGCTCCAAGAATAACGCATTGCAATACCCCCAAGTGGAAGCTGATTAAAATGTGAGTAGATATGGAAGTTTCCTGATTCATGAATGGAGTCAACTGACAATATGGATTTGTGCAAACAGCTTCCTAGTTACAGCTGTCACCAGCTCCTTAAGCAAGAATCATGAATTCAAGAGGACCCCAACTTATGCATCAGCTCTGGCTGGGAGAGTATTACCCATCCAGAGTCAAAAAATCAGAGACAGAATATCTCCAGATTGGGGAGACCCTGAAATCCATATTTCATGCCATGCCATGCCATATTCTACATTCTAGCAGTGATCTAGAAAAGATGTCCTGGCAAGGAAAAGTTTGCCATACTGACAGTACCATTTTATGAATTTTATTCAGGAGTTCATATGTTCCACAGATGTTATTATTTTATTACTTACATGGACCTTCTTCTAGCAATAAAACCTATGGAATTTCATTGGATTTCTAAATAAAGATATATATGTGGCTGTATTTTGAATTAAGTCTGTTTAAAGTGTTAATTTAATCATGTTGGACTTTTTCTTACTGGTTTTCCAAGGATGACAAAGCAAGTAGGCTTGGACAAAAGGAAGGCTCTGTCAGCTTCATCTTCATCATATATATCTACAAAAGGGTAAGGTTGTTCATCTTCTGGAGATGCCATCATTCAATCTACATTTAAAAGAGAATTATTTATTAAGATCTTTACTACTTTTTACACCTGCTACTAGTAACAGGATCTGGGGGAAAACAAGAGGGTTGCACTTAGATTTTGAATGGGAGAAAATCAGAAAAACCCTATGACTACGGACTATATTAAGAATCCCAAAATAATAGTAAAGCAAAAATAAAAATCCTGAAAGAAAGCGATTGCACAATACTTCCGCAATAAAAAAACTCTTTTTTTGATTCTATAAGTTTCTGCAATGCTGACAAGAAAACCATTGGATGTGTCCATGCAGACAGCAGGCATCATCAGTTCAACTAACATGATGCCCACCTATAACCTATGAGCCTCATCAATATATCGTTGCCACAAGAATTGTAGCATAGAAGCAGCTCGGTAAAAGTTTTCCTGTGAAGCCAGATTTGCCAACAACCTCTTCCTAGAGGTATTTCTCAGTCGCGTCGGGTATGATGACTAATAGTACATTTGGGCTGGGTTTTTTTTTCTTTTTTTCTTTCAAGTGAAAGCCCTTCTTGAGAGCACGGACCAAAAAAAGCGAGGTAAAAAATATGGAAACAAAACCCAACGGATCACAGCGTGGTACTTCATTCCCTCTCGACAATCTTGACTAAGGCGCGAGGTGTGCGTGTGGGTGGGGGGCACAAATGAGCTTGATGAAATCATTTTTGGCGGGTGTTGCCGGCGCAGAAAACGGATGAAAGGGCCACCCAGGGAAGACTTACTGCAGGATGAGGCCAAGCGGGGTTTCTACGCTTCGCTTTGGCAAACAGCGCGGCACGAAAGCTCCGCAGCGATTTTGCGTTCCCCCGTAACCGTGGAGATAACGCCCCGCCTCCTCTCTCTCTCTCTCTCTCTCTCTCGCGGAATCCCCGCCCTCCCACGCTCGTTTCATCCAATCAAACGGTCCCTGCGAGATCCCGCCCACCAAAGGGCCGTTACACAGCAGAGCTCCTCCCACCCGTAGAATGTTCAGGGATGCTTCGCTAACGGTTTTAAACGGGAGCTTTTTTCCCCAGTGTAACCGTCTTTTAGGGGAAATTCTCAGCTTCTTAGGGAGCCGATCCTCGGCGGGAGTGGCGTGGGTTAAACGGGCGCAACTGACTTGCAGGCAGTCCCGGGAACGGCTTGTAATATCGCAAATGACGGAACCCCCTCGTTTGCTGAGCGGTTTCAGTGATGGTCGCAGGGCAAAGCTAGGCATATCCACGCGGGGTGATGGTGGTGGTGGTGGGTGGGTCTCGCTGATTTCAATGAATCCGATTTCTTGGTGTGAATATTTAAAACTCTTTTCCTGACGGAAAAATAAAGGAGGGGGAGGAGGTTTAAGAAAGCTAAAACATCAAGTAGTGCTTGCTATATATATAGCTTCAATTTGACTCAGCCTTCCATCCTTCCGAGGTCGGTAAAATGAGGAGCCAAATTGTTGTTGGGAGCCATATGCTGACTCTGCAAACCACTTAGAAGACAGCTGTAAAGCACCGTGAAGCGGTATATAAGTCTAAAAAGTGCTATTGCTATTCAGTGCCTGTGATTTGAATTTTTGCCTCAACACAGTATTGGCCTCAGTGAATGTTATTCACACCCGCGTGGGGTGCTCCTAGGAACAGAGGGATGCAACTTCATGCAAACGACGACGTGCATTTTTTATCCACGAAAGCAGAAGTCCTTTAGGAAAAAAAAAAAAAAGCTAAAGCAGACGTCTTCACAAAGCTTGTGTCCTACAAGTTACTACCCAGCCACCCGCCCCGCGTGGTGGATTTCCCAGATTCCACTCGCCAATAGCGCGAGCAGAAGATTGAACAAACAAACAAACAAACAAAAAACACCGGGGCGTTCTGGTATTTGCCTTTACAATCCCCTCTTCAAAAACATCCTCCGTTCCGAGCAAGGACCATTCCCAAACTCAAAATGGCTGCGGCGGCGGCAAATTCAATCACGTGGTTTTGTGCTTCCCTTAACTGTCACTCTCTCGCGACCTTACTCGGTATTGCCGGAACAGCCGCCTACTTTCGATGGGGAGACGAGGGTTGGGTAGGTGCGGGGTGTCCCCTGTTTCTTCGGCTCCCGAGCGACCCTTCCTCGTAGGGTCCCTCGCCGAACGAGTAAAACGGAGAAGAAAATGGGTTCACGCGGCCCGCATTTATTTCGAGCCGTAGTTTAGCCGAAGCCGAGCTTCAAAAAGGAGGAAGGGACATTATAGGGCAGGTGGGAGCTTTCGCAGGTGACTTGAGCGTAATCCCCTCCGCTGTGTTACCATGCCTGCGGCGGCTCCGATCATCAGCTCTGTGCAAAAACTGGTGCTGTACGAAACTAGAGCTGTAAGTAAACCTCCACAACGCCTGCTCCTTCCCTCCTATTTTTGCCATTGATTGGGATCCTATAGGTTTTGGACTGAGGAAAGTGGAAGAAACATGGTTATTTACCATTGAACAGAGGAAGTCCCCTAGGTGCAGATTTTAGTCTTGACTAGTGGATTTCTACAGTGGCCAGTTAAAATTTTTTATTTTCTGCCTTACAAGGAGTGTAACCCATGCTGGAGTAGTAAGAGCTGTTATATCCTAATCTATCATTTTCCAATGAATTTTACCATATTTTCTTTACTATGGAGAGCTACATGGAACCACTTTTGGAACTACAGAAGAATAACCAGGAAAGAATACTGGGATGAGTTGCATTGGCTTGAAGTTGTATTGGACTTCAAGGCCTAGTAAACTGATCTGGTAGCTAACTGGACATTTAAAGCTACATACATTTATGTATGTATTATTTATGGACATACATTTAAAGCTAGCAGATATGTCAATGCTAGTGGTAGGAATTTGGCTGTTGGCATACCTAGGTGTAGCTTTCTCAGAAACACAACTCTGCAATGTGTTTCGATGTGTTAAGCCAACATACTTGGTTCATGAGCACAGGAGAGTTAGCAGCTTCCACCTTAGTTTGTTTACTATATTTTAACCAAGGTAAATCTATCATCACAAAATTAGAGCCATTTCATGTTTAGATAATATACTAAGTCTTATATTTTTACTGAAATGCAGTCTCAGTGAAAGCAGGGAATAAGATGCTGATGCATCCCATTCACTGAACATTTTTAGTGAGTCATGCAAAGAGAGCCCCAGAAATATATTCCCTGACTAAATTAAATCCTTGGATCTGATGTAGATAAGCTTTTCTTTAAGTCAGTTTTTTTTCACTGTAGAAAAATGATGGAAGTCTGCACTAGCTCTTTTTCTCCAGAACAGTTGGCCAGAATGCAACACATTCCAGGTGGATCAGTACTATACTTTGAAAGAAAAGTGAACTCTTAAATGGATGCTTCAATGTCCTTGAGAGCGTATCTGTGAGCATGACCCAATGCCCAGTATTGGTTGAATTACTGTACTTGTATCTAAGGAATTAATGCATAACTTTTTGATAGTCTAAATGGGGCAGGAAAAGATTTTGTGGAAACAGAAAAAGGAGAGTTATTCCTTCCTAGGAAAAAGGGTGATGTTGAATTAACAAATATATGTTGGGTAACTTGAATAAGATGTCTGTCCTATGCAATATTTGAACAATGGAAGTGTGCAGTCCCTGAAATCTGCTTGGATTTGTTTTTGGGTAATGGTTGATGTAATTAATTACATTACATTAATCCCCTTTTTCAATATGAGGATATTATATATATATATATCCGTTTAAATCTTATAAACAAATAATGACTTTTAAAATTCTACTTTTTTCAGATTCAAAATCAGTCAGAATGTTGCTTATGGTTTGCAATAGATAATGGTAATTCTGTAACCAAAATATCTGAAGAAAATACAGCAGAAATAAGCATCTATATACATTTTTGTAATTTGTTGATTTTCCCTATATTTTTTAAAGTTCCCTGTTGCTTAGCCTGATAATATTGGAACCCACTTTAAAATGTTTTGTTATCCTTTTCAAAAAAAGGTTAAGATGATCTTGCGTCATACATCTGTTCAATTAGTACAAAATGTTTTCATGTACAAATTATTATAAGCAATGGTCAGTTGTTAGGCTTTGGCTGTATTTTGTAAACTTGCTAAATTAGTTCAGATTGAAAGAAGGATGTAATAAATACATTTAGAAAGGGACCATACTGAAAACAGCGGCGAAGGGAGCCACACATCTTTATTTGGGATTATTGTATCATCTGTTTATTTGATACAGATGATCATATTAAAAGTTAAAAATCATACTTAACCCAGGGATTCTCAAACAGTCGGTCATGACTGCAATAAGCATTATAAAGTGTGTTTATGTGTGTGGAGGATTGGGCAAAATTGGATGCTGTCAAAACTCATTGTGCTTTGCCTGGTAAGCCTGCAGAAGGGTTCTGCACAATAAATGGGTATTAAAGGCCCAATGAGTTTTGGGAGATGACTGTTAACACACCGCTAATGTGCATTTTCCATGAAGAGAGTCAAACAATTGTTTATTTTAGGAATGACAATATTGCAATGTTGATAACCTCTGGTTTAAACTATGAAGATTTGTCCCAAAGATGCTTTTTCAAAAGGCAGCTGGACTTTCTTTTTTTTTCCTTGAAGATGGTTTGCTTCTCATCCAAGAAATTTCTTCAGTTCTGACTGAATCGTGGAGAATGGTTTATATTCCTTGCAAGAAAAAGTATCTTTGGGACAACCATGACCTGGATGACTTAGAATCTCCATAGACACTATGAGAATTCAGTTAGCTTTTCAGTGGCTTTCAGAGCTTCTCTGTGGGGGTGTTATTCAGTGTGGTTTGTGGCTTAGCCTAACCCTTGCAATAGTTTACCTATCACAGGATACCCTGGCATAAAAATTATACATGTGGCTTATGATATGTTGTATGATCAATAAGTTGTAGATATAATAAAATTGTCAATGCTGAGAAATAATTCCCTGAGAAAATTGCAAAAAAAAAAAGTTATAAAAACTTCAGTTCACTTATAATGTATACAATTCATGCTTTATAACAGCAAA